TTATTTATATAAGGAACACACAGACAGACAAGACAAAAATTATACTGATTGCATTTTTGGCATCAGTATCGATCACTTATCACCCCCTGATAGTTATTTTGAAAATATATTTAATGTACAGAATTGACCTCTCTACAGATTTATTATAAGTAAGTATAGATAGATAATATTATATATATGTATATATTGTTACAGGTGTGTGTCTTCTTGATTTTGGTGATCTTCGAGGGATCCTATTGTGAGTATAAAATGTTATTTAACGTTTTATACAATGTAGAAAAATATATAGGCTACCAAACTTGTAGAGGGGAATCATTGTACAAAATGGTGTGATTAGTTAAAGTGAAGCAAAATATGCGTAAATTAACTAAAAATCGTGCGCGGACGCGGCGACGTCGCGCAGCCTACTGAGCTACGCGTCCGCGCACGCTGCTCATGAGGAAGAACCCCTCTGTGGTTCGAAACTAGTAGAGCTTTTCTCAATATTTACACGTGAGTAACCCGCGATTTTTAGTTAATTTAGTATGTCTCACGATAGTTATTATAAAAACAAAATATGCGTAGCTCTTCCATGTCGATTGACATTCTATTTGCCCCGCTTACCGTTGAGTATTTAAACTACACGAATGGTTGCATTTCTGATGTGTCCAGCTTGCAATTCACCACACACTTGTTTCGCTTATTTGCACTTTCCATAATGTAAGCCTGCTCTCGCCGCAGATTGTTAGTATCACTTTTCACTACAATTTCAAAACTTTTCGGTCCTATTTTTTTGTTCACTGGAAGTATTGACTGGCCCGTTAGGTACTACGCGCTAGACTTTCCACCTGTCCACACAAAATAGTCAGATTTGGTGACCACGTTGGCCAGGGACTGCACGCGGTCGGTGGTCAAAATACAATAAACAAAATAATGTGCGTACGATACGTTTCCAAATCCCAGAGGGGTTGCGGACAAGCGCAAGGAGGCACAGCGATCTCGGCCCAGAGCAGTAGGACAAACTCGGAAGTTTTAGTGGGTCTGACTGCGCAGGCGCCAGCTGTTATTTTTTTAGAGTATTAATAATAAAATAAATGATTATACAAAAAAAGTTTCTGTTGTAAAGTTGTTTTCATGTTATCATGAGAACAATCAGTGTTTAAATATCGTTTACTGATTACCAGTCGCTCTATATTTATAGTTTCACGCTGGTTTTCTGTGGGGCCGTGGTATCATTCCGGTCGAGCCCATCCATTCGTGCCGTAGCATAGCTCTCCAACAATTGACATGGCTTGACACTTGACATGATATTATACTTATATAATCTAAATTTATTTCAGGTGCTTACTGGGATTTCTTATTTACTACTCCTCCTACTCCTTCTTTGACTACTCAACCACCGCCGAAATATTACCTTATACAGAACATATACCTCAACAATGGACACCATAACGCGATAACCGTTAAAGAATATCCAATTAAAATGTTGGATAATTTATTATATTAAAATGTTCAAGAAATTACCCTGTATAATAAAGTATAATATAAGTTGTCTTTTAAATAAATGATTTAAGTATTCAAATTATAATTTTATTTCACATTTATAATTGCTGCTGACTGCACGTGTCGCGGGTTTGATTCCCGCACGGAACAACACTTTGTGTGATCCACAAATTGTTGTTTCGGGTCTGGGTGTGTTGTGTATGTGAATTTGTATGTTTGTAAACGCAACCACGACAAAGAAGAAAATCCTAGTGTGGGGCAAAAAAAAACTATCGTCCCTCTCAAAAAAATTAGATTAAAGTTCTTTGTCATGCATGATCCCATATTTCGTCTTATTGATGAGAAGTCTAAGAGTGTTTCGGCTCAACCGAAGTGATACCACGGCCTCACAGATAACCGGCGTGAACTACAGTAATGTTGTGTTTCGCAAAGGGAGTGAGGTTACCGGAGGCCCATCCTTTTTTCTCTTCCCTCAATGTCAAAATCTAAGTCCCGAAGGCCAGCAATGCACTGCTATAGCCCCACTGGTACGGCTGGCGGCAAGTCAGTGTAAGAGTATTCACAATTATAAATACGATATATACATTTTTATAATCATTTTTGGTATTGTTTCGCCTATTGGTTTTTCTAATGTAATATAATTTAATCCTTAACTATATTTACAAAAAAATATAGACAGAAGTACATATATGTTTCCCTCGTTTTTTATTTAATTGTAGGTAATTCTGATTGTTTTTATTTTTCTTTTTTGGATATTTTTATGTTTAGCCTTAGTTTATCTCTTGCTACTATTTAATTTTGATCCTGATGTTGTTCTGTCGATTATTATAGATTCTCATACTTACGTATATCTAAATTAAAATTTGTTGAGTTAAAAATAAATATGTAATAGTGTTAATTTCTTTTGCGATATAATTTTGATTATTATCTAACCTGTTGTTTTGAAATAAGAGAAAAGTACGGGCTGATGAGGCCATTGTGTTTAACATTGTTTATTTTTTCGTTGATAACATCACCAGTGAATATTATTATTAACTTCAATTTTGTTCTAATAAATGAGCTTAAAATTTTTAACACATTTGTTTTATTTATGGGGTGTATAATGGCGTCCAGCAGCGTGATTCTGTAAGACTTCATTCTAAATTTCGAATCTGAATCCGCTGTGAGTATTAGTACACTAGCGCTACACTTGCGAGTTGAACTAAATTGACAGCAACATTTTGATAGATAAAGTATGAGATGACGTTAAAAATGGCATTCTAAAATTTAATTTACCCGTCACTTCGACGCTCATTTCGCACCCGAACACGATTCAAAATCAAACAAATTTTATAGAATCGACGTGCAGACATATTATACAAATATTTCATAGAAATTTAACCAGTTACATTTTTTTAGTGTGCCAAGCGCTGGATCGCCTTATGGTAAGCAATCAGTACCCTCCATGGACATGGGAACACCAAGCGCGTTGCCGGCCTTTTTAGGATATGGATGTAAAATTGGAGAAATTGAGGACGGGAAAAGGAGAGATATAGGTAGGTTTGGGTACCTAGTAATCTGATTCACACAGGGAAACATAACAAAATTGTTGTTTCACGTCCTTCCACCTAAAGTAGGCTCTTCCCAGGAATGCTTCGATAGGTACCTGTTTGAACACCCAACTGAATCGAAGAACTGAGAAGCCACCTCTTTCTGCTATGCAGTATAAGGAGCAACTCTCCCAAAATGGCAGCGGAGCGCGTGCGTGCCGCAGTAGGCGACTGTCATGGCGTCGGGGTTAGAGTGACGATCTCCACGTGCGGCAAGTAGCGTTCCATGCGCGCCTCATAGAGCCCATAGACCGCCGCAGATAGGGACCAACAGGGCCGATGTTGTGGATCAAAAGCATTAAGGTACCGCAGTCTCGGCTTGGGGTAAGAGAAGGAATGTGTTTTTTATTTAGTCAGTAAGAGTCTGACTCTCGAGAGAAGTTTTTGTCTAGGGTATGGCGAGAGGAAGAGTTTCATGATTATTTTCTTCAAAAACAAAGTGTTATTCCGCGCCTCTTTCTATGAGACCGTGGTCAATATTCCGGTCGAGCGAGCCCATTCATGACTCTTCCAAGCTTATTTTGGACCAGACATGAAAACACATTTTTTAAATGTGAATCAATAGAAATCCTATACTCTAACAGAGTGTAGGTATAATGTAATGGAAATATAGGGTTTATCAATTTATTTTTATTATTCTTAGATATTTCACTTTTGGTCTTATACAACCACATTATCTGGCTGACATCTAAAAAAAACTTGAACTTCACCCTTGAATGTAACATTTTTTAGGTTAATTATTATTATGTATGTCTTTACCAATCACGAGACCACAGGGTCCCGGTCATTTGGAAGGCGTACGAGGGGTCGGAGCCAACTGCGCAGAGGCCCTTTAGACAACTTTAATCTAAATGAAATGGGACACAAACCGGCGACTATCCCTGTATGCACTATGGAAATGCACCCAAGGACAGTCCCCGGTTAGTGTAGGACTATTGCAGATAATGGGAACAAAATACAAGGCTATGGGTGTGGGTTGCTATGGGCTAGTAGGATAGGAACTATGAAAGGACTATGGCACCTGCCGAAACAATGTAATTTGTACACGTAAAACTGGCAGGCGGAGACTCGCCAACTCACCGACCGGGCCCCCGGGAATGGTTGCTAGTAATAGCAACAGAGGGACAACGGAAATGTGAGTGGCTGAAGGGTGAAGAAACTGCCACCAGCTTTCTACTCAGATCATCTGCATCTGCCTAAGCATCCTGCATCACTGGCCCACTCGCCGCTTACGAACAGCTTCCACCCTCCGAGCAGGATCACTACTCTCGCGACTCCACTCTGGACGGCCAATGAAGGCAAGCCAGAGGTGGGAGACCTGTTCCTCGTCATCGTTCACTCCGACCAGCCAATGAAGGCAAGCCGGAGATAAGGAACGGTGACTTCTCCCTGGAGCAATCGGGATGATGGTAGCCCGCGGGATCGCTAATTCCCGTCACCTCGCCTCAAGGTGCCCTGCGGGCTAATTATTATTATTATTATACGATAAAATCAGAAAAAAGGCTGTCGGGTAGTAAGAATTTTATAGGTTATGTGAGTAAAATAAAATCCAAGATTAAAAAAATACATTTATTTATTAGGTACTATAATTAGGAGCCTTAGGTTGAGTCTCATTAATCGTCTCAGTAACAGTTGTAGGAATGTTGAACAAATCACCGTCCATAAGAAGCCCAACGCGATTAAAAATTTACAATTACTTGTCGAAATTAAGCTTAAGAAAACAAAAACCATGGTTTGGTTCTCTGTTTAAATATAACTAAGTAACTCCACATGCTAACTTAAACCTATCTCCTTACATGTTAATATAATAAAAATAATTGTCCAAAAAGTTTGCCAAGATCTCCTCCACCAACATAGATGACATTATGGTTACCATTGTTTGTAATAGTATTTTGATAAGTTGTTGTTGTATGGGTTTGTTGGTGGACTTCAGGACAGTACCACCAAAAGCATGGTCTTGGTGCACCTGTAACAAAGTCAACTTATATTTAACAAAAATTTTTACTTGTGGCTGGATACAAACATGGAAATGTTTATGATTAGTTTTGGGTTGAGTCTATATGAATTTCGGAGATAAATAAAAAATTAGTACGTCCCGGTAAATTAAGTATAGTGTTCTCACTAAGACACACAAAATTATTACACAAATGTCTAAGTTTAACATAAGTTCCGGCTCGGCACACCGTTATACGAAGACTGGTGATTGACTTGTGTTCTTATTTAAGGAAGGAACAACGACGCGCCACGCGCACTGACATGTACATGCATTTACATAGGTGTGTGCGTGAGTGTCCCTACAATTAGATTTGAGATATTTTGATCTACTTAGTTTCTTTCGGATTCAAAGTTCAGGTATCAAGGAAAACATGTTGTGCCTTGAAAATATATGTATTAATGCTTTTCTCATTTAACTCACGTGACTAAAACGTTTTTAAAAAATAACCAAAATCACAATAAAGAAGAAAGCTATACATAAAGTTAAAAGTTGGGGCCATTTATTTTTTGCATATCGAAGGACCTAATAATGCTAAATGATTTTCTTGACTGACGTCATCTTTTTAGCCGTGAAGAATATGTACATACTCGTAGTATACGCAGTACGTGGTAGGTGCTGGCATTATTTTTATGATCTAATGCCCTTCTCGAAGTGAGAAGAGGATTTTGGTAATATGTAGTAATGATAATGAATAAGAAAGCTAAGACTTCTACGGCTGACATGAGACACTCTCTGCCTGCCTTTATGGGGCTTCAGACATCAATGTACTTACATTGGAATCCCTCCAAAACCGCCAAGAACAAGACGACACACACCTGAAACAATCATTATATGATTTGTAACATACAATTAACTAACTGCTTTACGACCTTTTTTGATAAATGTATATAAATCAAATAAATATGTATAATATTATATAATTATATATTATATATAAACCAATTAAACCGATAAAAAATTGCAGTCTGTGCCGTTTGGCGTGAGGGAGAAAGTGGTACAAAAGTTTTGATTGCACGGTTGGTGCGGTGGCTGGGCAACTGGCTGCCGTGCAACGTGTCACGGGTTCGATTCCCGCATGGAACAACTCTTTGTGTGATCCACAAATTGTTGTTCCGGGTCTGGGTGTCATGTGTATGTGAAATTGCATGTTTGTAATCGCACCCACGACAAAAAAGCTAACAATGTTTCTTCTACGTAGAAAAATATAGCAGAGACCTGAAGTGGTAAAGAATTATTGGAATGAATACATTTTTATTCTATTATCAAATTCAGCAGATAAACCTTTAGGGCAGATTTTTCAATATTCAGATAAATGATATCTGAGGAATAAAATTGTTGCTGTCACTGTCTTATACAAACATTCTGACGCGACAGCAACATAATTATTCCGCAGATGACTTTTATCTAACCATTGAAAAATCAGCCCTAATAAAAGGTTTATCTGCTTAAGGTTTCTTTGCTGAAGTTGAGAGTGATGGTTGTTTTGATTGTTGATTTTCTACACGCGCTGGCACAATTCACTTTTAATATTATTATATTGGTATATATTAAATAATGTAGCTACTTACAATTAACTTCATGGTAGCAGTAATCGCAGACTAGAGTGTTGAGATTGGACTCACTGCTTGAACTGGCGAGATGTTTAGATAACACTAACATTTATACAAATGCTAGTTATCTCCTTGTGACGTGCGATGCCAAATTATTAATGAAATATATATTTTTTTTTATGTCATAAGCAGTAATCGGAGTAGGTAGATTGAAATGGGCATTTCTCCGAAATTGGTAGATTATTAAAAAAAAACCGGAACTTATGTAGGAATTTTTTTACTGCCAAGAGTGGAAGATTCATTTGATGATTTGCCATCCTCAAAAAAAATAGGAATTGTAATAAAATGAGCAATATTATTCTTTAAATACCGGAATACCGGCAATACCGGAATTACTTTCCAGGAAAATGGCTTATCCATGTTATTCTTTCTGTGTTCATTTATGATACAAGTACCAAAAATCAATCTACCTACTCCGATCACTGGTCATAAGTCACCAAACGAGGAGACCAATTATCGGTAAGCAATCGCCGCGGCCCATAAACACCCGCAACACGAGTGTGTTGCCGGCCTATGGGGATTAGGGTTTCGGAAATTTGGGGATTGAGGAAGGATGATTGTTGACGATTAAAGCATTAGAACAAGGTCGGGGTCCTACCGCAACGACCATGACCAATATGACTATTGGTCATGTCGTTGCGGTAGGACCCCGACTGAAAAACCACATCGTATTTGTTTGTTTAAAGCCCTTGTTCGTTCACAACTGGAGTATGCAGTTTCGGCATGGAATCCTTTCTACAAAAAATATGATGAAATGGTGGAGAATGTTCAGTACAAATTCTTGCGTGCTATGCATTACAGATGCCATAAATCTTACCTACCGTACCCTGTTTTACTCAGTAAATATAAGTTTCTTCCCCTTAGCTCTCGAAGGAAGTACCTTGAAGCGACAGTCTTATACAATATAGTCAGAAACAAATTTAACTGTACAAACCTGAACAACATGATCTGCTATGCTGTACCCAGAACCATCCATAGGCGACAGGTACGCGCAGGTACCCTTTTTGCACTGAACACCTGTCGAACTAATTCAGGCCTGCGTTCACCTATCCGCCGTATGGTTGACACATATAACGTTACCTTTGTTGACATAGATATATTTAATTGCAGCATAAATAAGTTCAAAAGCCTCCTTCTCAGTTCCCTATTTAATACTCAAACTACTTTATTACAGTAATTTCTTCCACTATCTGTCTAGTATCTTTAAACATTCTATTTGTTACGCGCACAGTTATCAATGTTCCTAGCGTTTATAACTCGTTTTTTTTTAATTTGTATGTCTACCTGTGGACAGCGTTGTGGGTTACATTATGACCACAACATAAAATTGTTAAACTAGTTGTAAGTCTTTATAATGTATCTGTTTGCTGTTCCTCAAAATAAATAAAATAAAATAAAATGACTTAAAAAAACTTTTAAATGTCAGTATAAACAAACACACGTTTTACTAAATTAAATACTAAAATACTGTATGTTAGTGTCTTTTTTTTTAATAAATTTAATTTATTTTATTTTATAATTATAGTTTTCGGAACAGTCAAATCAAATAATTTGATATGCCAAAATGAAGGTAAAAATAATAAGATGTTACAGTATGTAGTGATTCTCTTCATCATTTGGTATATATAGGAATAATAAATATATATAGGATTCATCATTTGGTAGGAATTGTAAAGGCTATGTGAGTAAAATAAAATTCAGGATGAAGAAAATACTAGAGATAATTTTATTAGGTACTACAAATAGTAGACTGACGGTTGAGTCTTATTAATACAAGCAGTAGAAGGAATGTTGAACAAATCATCGTCCACAAGAATTATCCCAAAATTATGGAGGGAACAAAATTTGCAAACTAAATTTGCAAACTCTTAAAAAGACATTAAAACAGTTTTTTGGTTAAGAAGGCATACTAGACCATACTTGCATTTTTAAATGACAAGGTTTGACTATGAAATTTTTTAAAGATATTTAATCTTTAATTTAATTTAATTGTAATTTGTAAATTGTAATTATTTTAAATGTAATGTAATTGTATTGACATTAATGCTTGTACTGATGACTATAACTGTAATAACTATTATGTAAATAATATGAAAAATAGAATTATGATAATTTAATTAATGACATATGACATTGTAATCTAAACTCATATATTTCTTTATTCCATCTGCATGTAACTCATGTTATGACAAATAAAATGATCTATCTATCTATCTATCAAGCAGAACAACTTTTAATAATTTACAATTATTTGTCGAGATTCTGCTGAAGAAAACCAATGCCATGGTTTGGTTCTCTGTTTAAACATAACTAACTCCACATGCTAACTAAAACCAATCTCCTTACATGATAATATAATAAAAATAATTATCAAACAATTTTGCGAAGATCTCCTCCATCAACAATGATGACGTTATTGTTACCATTGTTTACAAAAATAAATTGATAAATTTTTGATGAAGACGAATGGGTTCGATGTCTTACACGGGTCCGATGGCGAGGGCAGTACCACCAAAAGCATGGTGTTGGTGCACCTGTAACAAAGTCAACTTATATTTAACGAAATTTTCAGTTTTTGGCAGGATAAAAACGGGGAAATATTTGTGATTTCAATAGTAATATTTACGAGATAATGAATAAGGAAGCTAAGACGTCTTACAGCTGTCATGAGTAATTCTCTGCCTGCCTTTTTGGGGCTCTAAAAACACATTCATTAATGTACTTACTGTGGAATCCCTCCAAAACCGCCAAGAACAAGAAGACATACACCTGAAACAATAATTATATGATTTGTAACATAAAACTAAATATTATACCTGTATAAACTTAATAACACATATTAAAATATTTCTTTTCTTAATGAGTAATTTAAATATTACTATAAAATACTGATATATTTTTCTTTTATTTTGTTTCAATTCGAACAGATGAAGTAGTTTATTATGGCTAATAATAGATCTGAATATATATGATATAGAGATATGAGAATCTGCTTAATATACTTTGAGTACTGGTTAGTTTTTTTATTTTCTAATACGTGTTGTCTGATTTCAATTCTAATAGTATTATATTTTACATATTAAAGATGGTAGCTACTTACTATTAAGTTCATCGTTGTGGTAATCGCACACTAGGGTGTTGAGATGGGACTCACTGCTTGAACTGGAGAGATGTATAGATTACAACTAACATTTATACAAATGTAAGTTATCTCCTTGTGACGTGCGTTGCTAAATTAATTACATATATTTTTATGTGATAGGTAAGTTGGAAAACGAACAGCCGGGTAACTTGATGTTAAGCAATCGAAGCCACCCATGGACAAATCCAAGGAGTTACATTCCCGCTGGGGATTGGGGTTTCAGAGATCGAAAAAAATAAATAAAAATAAAAGCCTAAAAGTCGGGGTTATTTCTCAGACCTCATGATCGATATCACTTAAAAAAAACTTTTACAAATCGAAGTAAATAAACACGCTTTAGTTTAACATATTTATTTAGTAACTTAAAATATTACAGTTCCTAAAATACTACATATAATTTTTTCGATTTTTCATTAGTTATCGAAACGGTCAGTCAAAAATAAAGAAAGAAAATTACATCTGAATAACAATTGGTTGCCACTTTTGCAATTTTGAAAATAGTATTATTTTGTTGAATATCTAATAGTAGTAAATATAATCTGGATAAAGTTAGCCTTTGAGACTATTGTGTCTTTGAAATAGATCAGGTTTGGTTTGTTGTTGTTTTAGAGCTTGGAACATAATTTTAGTCATTTCTTCATGGCCAATGAGGTGGTACAATAATACTTTGACGTCGGCATCAATTAGAAAGGTTCAAGGTCTGAACCCCCTTATCCTCTCTTCCACCAGCTCCTATAGAAGCTGGTGCCTGTGGTCCTGGCGCCCTCATACTGGTTGCTTCATTTCTAGGAATGTTTTTCACCTCCGGACGTTCTGTATAAGGTTTCGCTGGGGAGCCTGAAATTTATCAATTATCATAAAACTTTTTTTTCATTTTTTTATGCTATATAGCGGCAAACGAGCTCTCGTACTACCTGATTGGAAACAATCGGTGCCGGCAGTAAATACCCGCAACACTAAAGGTGTTGTGAGTACATTATCGCTTATTGGTGTTAGAAAATTGAGGATTAAGTGTGGGAGAGCCATGCTTCATACACCGGAGGCCCAAAATCCCCAATCTCCAAAAAGTCGGCAACGCACTAGTAACTCCTCTGTAGTTGCGGGTGTCCATGGGTGGCGCTGATTGCTTACCATCAGGTAATCCGTCAGTTTGTTTGCGGTAGGTCGACATATAAAAAAGAAAATTTGAGTATTGGTAGTCGAGAGAGGGAGTATTGAAATGTGCTTGTAACATCGAACACCCAGCGCTGTGATTGTTTCACACTGTTTTAATTTCTAAATGGCATAGAGTTCTCACTTCTTGTATTTATGGGTAGGTAAACGAATTACCTGATGGTAAGCATTCGTAATACCAAAAGAGTTGCTACGTGCCTTTCCGGCCTCTTGTAGTAGGGATTGAGGATAGGGGGAAAATTATTGGACCTCCAGACCCAGCGAAACACAATATAAGTGTTGCCTCACACCCGGTATTCTGCCCGAGCGTGCGGCGCGTAGCGTTCCGCGCGCGCCTCAAAGAGCCAATAGACCACCACAGACGGGGCCCTAAAGGGCTGATGTTCAGCCGGGGTTGCGGGGTAAGCGCAATGAGGTACCGCGACCTTGGCACAGAGCAGGAGAAGGAACAGGGGGGTTATTAGTCAGTAAGAGTCTGACACTCCCTCCTGTCAGTCATTTGATGATTTTCCCCTCACAAAAAAAAGAACACCCGGTATTCTGTGAGACCGTGCGTGCTGGCCTGTTCCTACTGAAGCATGGCTCTCCCACATCTAGTGAGGGAGCACGACGAATAAGAACTTAACCAGAATGATGACACTTACGTAGAACCTATACTCAATACTCAATATATTAATTGCATTCCACAATGTGAACTTAGGTGGTAGGGTACATAAGGATTTACATATATTAGTTTAGGAGCATTGTGGGTCATCTCGGGCATAACAATATTAGTAAACATTTTATGAGGAGGGCTAGTATAAATATTATGTATACAATTTTTAATTATTTTTACGTGGGTAGACTTACATATATATAACTTATAACTAATTGAGTACAACCTAGTAATAGAATAGCTATGTATACTTACAGTGGAACATATCCGCTACAACCACGATCAAAAACAATGTCACCTAGAACAAGATAAGTATTTACTCGTCAATATTTGCTGAATGCTGTCTCAGTTGAATATTTCTTTAGTCATTCGCTGGCTACTGTATAAGTGTTAAAAACGATTACGAAAGGTTTAGGAGCCATGTTACGAGTATTTAGTTGCCCTACACAAAAATAATTGCTGAAATCAAACCAGTAGTTCCAGTTTACATTCAGAAATACCAACAGATAAGCAGACCAACTTTTCAGCTTCATAATAGTATGTATAGTATAGATAGATAATCAAATCAGTTTTTTCTTCTCTTCAAATACTTAATGTCTCGTAGATGTGACCCACTGAAGCGTAGGAGAGCCATGCTCGACGGAGTGATACCACGGCCTCGCAGAAAACCGGCGTGAAACAACCACAACTTCGTTGTGTGAGTGAGGTTACCGGAGACCGAATCCCTCCGCTCTCCTCATCCCTTCCCAATCAATAAATAACCGAAACTCTTATCCCTTAAAAGGCCGGCAACTCCTTTGGTGTTGCGGGTATCCATGGGCGGCGCCGATTGCTTACCATCAGGTCTGCTCGTTTGCTGACCTATCCCATACAAAAAGATCCTGGCTTACAGAAGATGCAGTGGTTTCGGGAACTTGTGACGAGCTTGTCCCATTAAATAATCAAATTTGTACTCACAATGAACTTCATCGTTGAGCTACTTGCACACTGCAATACTTAAGTGACACTGCACTGCTGTAACTGGGTGTTGAACTGTGGCACTATTGGAATCACGGGAACATTTATACATACTCTAATTTTCCTCGTACAAACTTAAGTGGTCTATAATCTGAAAGTTATGAAGATGAATCATTAGCAATTCAATTATATGGGATAATATTTTATGTATATGCACTTAATTATATTTGACATATATGGAACTTAAGGGAAAACCTCCTTTCAAAAACCATATATATTCTGTTATCTATTTATTATGATGTAGGTGTACTTTATTATACGAAATTTCGTTCTTGCCATACCTATTACTGGACAACGATATCAGCTCACACATAGGACCCATTACAATAACAATACAAAATTTTCCGTTGTGTTTGGTGACTGGGCTTCTCCCAGTGTATCCAGCAAATAAATTTACCGAAGGAAGTGGAAACTATTTAGTTTTTTCTTCTCCTCAAATAATATCTTGTGATTAATTTCGTTGCGGGATCCAAGACAGTCATTCATGTTCTTAGGAAGCGCCGGACTACAGTGTTCCGGTGTTTTCATGGTGGTATCTACTGTAGATAGGAGTTGCACCGGTTTTGAGAGGTTGCGGCGGGCTTGTCCCATTTATTTATTATTTATTTTTTACATTCATACAAAACGTAAATTAAGCATATAAGAAAATTTATTTACAGGATTAAAGTACATAAATACTTCACATTCTTGTTGGAACCATGAGCAGCGTGCGGGTACGCGGCGATGTCGCGCAGCCTACTCAGGCTCGGCCTATTCAGGCTACGTATCATAATTATTACGCCGATAGCTTTTATCTAACCATTGAAAAACCAACCCTCAGTCGGGCATCTTATCAATTCTTTGAGTACTCCACAACGTACTGAAGTTATTATAAAAACATCCATAGATAACATTTATATGACTATTGAAAAAATAGCCCTCAATAGAAGACGAGAAAACAATACGAGATAAGCGATATCAAATTCATTAATAAAATAAAACAAATATTTCTTAATTGAAAAAGCTTATTGCACAGTAATTGAATTTATTAATGTCTAGCTAATCTCACGCGGTTTCACCCGCTACTCGGCTCCATTTGATCGTAGCGTGATGTTTTATAGCCTATCGCACTGAGGAACATTGTAACTATCTATTAGTGAATGAATTTTCGCAATCCGACCAGCGGTTCCAATGATTACCCCCTACAAACAAACTTACAATTTTTACCTCTTTATAATATTAGTACAGATAACTCCTAACTACAATATCTGCGGAAGTCTGTTATTTATTACGAATAGTCATCATAGGTCTCCAAATAATTGATAAAAAAGTAATTAAAAATGATCATACTATCGAACATCATATGATTGTGGCAATAAAAAACATTTCTAATAACATATTATATTAACATACATAATACAATACATATGTATATGTAAATAAGTTATCGAAATGTCCAAACATATACTTTGGAATAATTCCAGGTAAAAATGTATTATACCCATATAAAATAATTTATTTATATCCTTATAATATTTAGAAAAGAGGAAAATACTAAAACTTTATGCATAAATGTAGGTACATGCAGTAATACATATATATTTATGTAACTTATGTTGGCGTGGTGGCTGGGCAATCAGCTATTGACTAAATGAAGCAATTTTCTTTTATTTTTCTGGCTTTTTAGCGGAATATTGGTGTTACATTTTTAGACCAACTTTATAACATAACCAAGAATGAGATTCTAAAACCGAAGATTTAAAATAGAAGTTCTTCATAGAAACCTACAGTTTGGAACAAACTAACAGCTTCACTAAATCTAACGACATACCAAAACATTTTTTGAAAATAAATCTTAACTAGATTGATTTTACATCCTTAAAAACCTTTATAAACAACAAAATGTAAATCGTTGGAGCCGTTTTCAAGATCCTGTTTATACCTATACATAAATAAAATAATTCCTACTCGTTTTAAAGATGTTCAAAGGTTTATTTATATATTGGTCTATTTGCTTCTTTCTTAAATAAAACATGCGAAACTAAATAAAAATCTAAATTCGTATCAGCAGATTCTGAGATTTATAAGCGCGTTCGATTAAACTAGTTGTTTAAACAATGAAAGAAACTCGTTGAGTTTATAATAATATAATAATAAAATAATTATACAATTTACTGCAATTTATGATGATAATGATATTAACTCGGGCAGCGACAACGTACGTGTTAAGTTCATAAACGAGCGTAATAATCGAGGGCGAGTCCCGATTAAAAATTCCGGACTGGTCCTAAACTACACGATACAAAGGCCATCTAGGTATCAGGAAAAATAAAATAAAATACAGATAGAATTTTATCATCTCGGGAATTTCAGAAAGTTGACCGGTCAGCTTAGATCTAGTTCAGCCATCAGGTCAACATTACTGATAACACTAAACTTATTTAATTATATTTTTATTCATATATCGCGCAATCGCACATTGTACAAAAATATGGAAATAAGATTAGGTACGCCGTTTTTAAGGAAAGTAAATTATCAAATGACTTTTTTCTTCTAGAGTACGGTGTGAAGGAGTATCAGAATCTTATTGACTAAAAGATCCTCGCTTCTTCTGCTCTAGGCCGAGCCCGCGGTACCTAAATTGCACCTAAGACTTAGTGAATCACCTGACCTGGGATGATATTTTTTGGGTTTTATTAAGTTTTTCTGAAACTTTATTTATTGCATGGGAAACATGAAATTACAGATGAATAGTGGATCTTATAGTATATATGATGCGTACCGTTGCTCGGAACCGAATGCCTACTCAGTTCAGTTCTGGGTCTTTCTGAGTTCTGGGTATTTCATGTCTGCTGGAAGGTTTTTCAATGGCATAAGGGGTCAAACAAACGAACGTATTATCTGATAGCAAGCAATCCCTGCCGCTCATCGAAGGAGTTTTAAGCGAGTTGCTGGCCTGTAGTCTGTTGTTAAGGATCCGAGGATTAGGAATTTGGAGATAAGAAGACAGGTGGGGGGAGGATTGGGTCTCCACTAACCTCAATCTCATGGCAAAACATGGGTCGAGCTATACAGCTTGCAATTTCTGAATTTGCTATATTCATAGAAATAAATTTAAGCATTCTTTCAAAAGCCTCGCCTCATATTACATGTGACTGATACAGTGGACGGGGTATTTCCTTTCAGTCTTATTATAATGTTTTTGGTTACAACCAATTTTAAATAGAGTTGTTATGCACTCATACGGGATAGACGAATTACTTATAACAATTTCCTCTATGCACACAAAATTCGATGAATCATGGGAATCGAGTAAATAATAATTTGTGTAAGGAAAATTTTACAAATAATTACTTATAGGTATTTTAATTAAAATATTAAGTTTAGAAATTTAATAAAAGTTACATATATATGTGTATTTTTATAGACATGCTCTTTCCTTTCACAGGAACACAGGGTCCCGGACCTTTGGAAGGCGTACGAGGAGCCGAAGCCAACTCGCAGAGGCCCGTTAAACAGTTTTAATCTAAATGTGATGCATGCTTATTATTAAGATATTTAAAGTGCATGTTATAATTTATTAGGAGAATGCAACCTAGATAGTCTAAAACATATGTCACGAGGACCACCAAGTCTTATTTCTCGGGCTACGCACGGGTATAACATATGGAGCTTAAGTACCTTCACTCACTGAAGAAATAATTAAAATCGATCCAGTGCTTTTAGAAACACCATGAAGATTGGAATATCTCAATTTATTTATTTACGACATCACTTTAGATACTTGAGGTATCATAATAACAGTATTCCTCGAATATTTAATGGATGTTATGAATATAAACTAGTCTCTTCAATAACTTTGTATTTTATAAAAAAACCGCAACAAAATCCGTTGCATGGTTTTATAGATTTAAGCATACACGGGGACAGAAAAAGCGACTTTGTTTTATACTACGTAGTTAGGGATTTTAACTTTGTACAATAACTTTACACTGGCGGTATTATTCATCATCGTCAGCCTATAAGTGCCCACTGCTGAGCAAAGGCCTCTTCTCATATTATTTTCTGGTGGCATTCTTTGACAGTTAAGAAACGTCAGATTAGGAGCACGGAGATGAAAAAGAGTTCGTAAAAAAAGGAAATAACATGCAATTTTTGGGAATTACCTTACACCACATTCCCCTGTATCCAAACAGGAAAATGACACCAACAGTTTTTGAGCGAAGGATATTCCTAGCAGTTGTTATCTCAATATGAATACCTACGTGACACAAGACAAGGCAGCACTGTTATTTGCAAGAATATAAATACTTTTAGCATTATGGGAATACCAATTACTAGGAACGCTCGAGTTATCTTGTAGGTCAAAACGCCAATCTTATAAGTAAACTGTGCCAAATTTCCGGAACAAATTCGTTACTAAGGAGTACTTTTGGATTATCGGCTTCATTACATTTGCTTAGTTTAATTTGTTTTATTGTGTGATTAGGCAGCGAACGAGTTGATGGATTGACTCGATGGCAAGCAATCGGCGCTGCCCATAGACACATATAGCACCAAAAGAGTTACGAGTGCTTTGCCGGCCTTTTATGGATAAGGGTTTCGGATATTGAAGGATTGGGAAGATATGCAGGATAGGGGGGGGGGAGGGGATTGGGCCTCCGGTAACCTCACTTGCACGGCAAAACATAACGGTCTTAGGACGTGGTATCACTCCGGTCGTGCCGACCCATTCATGCCGAAGTATGGCTCTCCCACACTTAAACTCTCTCTCGCACTTACTTTATATCAAATCTTTACAAAACTGTGCATATATCACACACTCTTTCCAAAATAGTAAACAGATGGGACAAATCAAAAGGGCACCAACCTTTGTGATACATGTATTTGGCTAGTACAGAGACCAGAGTTTTACAAATATTTGTGTAACTGAATTATTGTGTTGTAAAATCTTATACTGTTTGTGTACCTTTTTGAGTAATAAAGATTCATTTATTAACTTACTTTTAAGTAATCATTAATTTTTTTAAGTAGACCACTGCAGTCGGTGTCCTATTATGGATGATGTTCAGACGAGTTTGCGGGGCAAGCGCAATAAGGCACTGTGGCTTCGGCCCAGAGCAGGAGAAGGAGCGATAGGTGAGGGGGAGTTTAGCCCTTAAGAGTCTGGCACTCCGTCTCGCCTTACCATGGTCATGATTGATTTTCCCCTAACAAAAAAGTATCCCCGTTAGTTTTGTATAAATTTAATTTGATTCTCTTAAGCCTAATTAAGTTAAGTATCTGAGTTTTAAAAAGTAAGGCTGCACAATAGATGGAGTGACTGTGCATCGTGCCGCGGGTTCAATTCCCGAATGAAAAAAATTCATGAAACATGAAACGCATGATTCTATGTTTGTAAATTGTTTGAATTCACTTTTATATCTCTAATGATTTATTTTTATCAATTTCGTTGCCGAATTCAGGGTAGCCTTTCCTGTCCCTAGCTCGTCAGGCTTATTGTGTTTCGTTGTTTTCATGATTAGTATGTACTGTACGATGACCGTTTTTTTCTACATGATAGAGAACAAAAGAGATCACTGGCTTGTTATTCAGAAGCAGGATTCACCACATGCCAATTTAGCGGCCTAATATGTAAAATTTACGCAGACTACTAAAGAATAATCAATTTAAACTAGCGATCCGCCCCGGCTTAGGACGGGTGCAATGCTGATACCAAATTACTCCACTATTTTATTGTCGTTATTATACTTTTACGTCAGTTCGTGCACGTAGCGTGCTCTTCTTGTATTAATTGATGCGCTATGAAAATTATATTATAACCTGCCTAGGAATATGAAAAAGAATTCACCGAGTTTCGTTAAAATTTGTTGAGTAGTTTTTGTTTCTATAAGGAACATACAGACAGACAGACAGACAGACAAACAAAAATTTAACAGATTGCATTTTTGGCATCAGTATCGGTCACTTATCACCCCCTGATAGTTATTTTGAAAATATATTTCATGTACAGAATTGACCTCTCTACAGATTTATTACAAGCATGTAGGTATGTAGATTTTAAAAATAACTATGCAACAGCTTGTACTCGTTCTTTAGCAAATAACCTCAGAAAGTGTCTGGGTCTCAATCTATGTAAATTTGTATTTCTGCGTGCCTGCTATTGGAATTCAAGCTGGAAACATTATAATGTTAATGTTATAATATAAGCGGCTACGTTGCTACGCCGTAGCAACGTTTGCTACGAAATCATTTAGATGTGATTGATAAAATTGTGTTTATCTGTTTAGTCGTTTTTTCTAAGAATGGTGCTAAAATCGCAAATCTCTATTTGTTTCTTTTACTATAAAGAAAAATGCACATGTTTAACAATATATGTATTGCTTAAGAACTTTGTAATTGTATTTGATAGATTCTCCATGTAAGCCAGTAGGCTAGCTGATATAGGCGAAGGAAAGTTAAAGATTAAAAAACACATAATACAGATTTGTACATTTATTGAATAGAAAAAAATGATTTTACCGTCACATTGATTGCACAGAGCGTAAGACCTAAGTTCTGGTAATCAGGGATATTTGGTTCGATTACCATTGGCTGCTTAAATCACGAGAACGGAGAAAGTAGGGTAATCATAATTAGGAGAATACTGCTGTTGATATAGTGTGGGATACGGTACCGGATATAAAGCATATGGATCAGGCATTTGTAAGGGGGATTGACCGCCAAAAATCATAGGTTGCTGTTGTTGGAGGTACAGCGGGAACAGCTGAGGTGGTTGACCCAGATTCTGTTCAGCTTGTGGAAGTTGGTATTGTGGAGGTTGTTGACTGGGAATCAGCACAGCCTGTTGAACTGAATTTAGGCCAGGATATGGAACAGGGTTTTGGACAGGATAGAAGCCAGGGTATTGACGAGGATTAAATCTAGGCAAGGAATGAACTGAATTAGGTTGTTGCGGCTCGGGGTTAGGTGCTTTTGGACTGCTCGCATTTTCTGTGTTTGAAGAAGGTTCCTTAGCATCGACTGGGCCCTTTACTTCTGTGTTTGTATTCACTGGTTCAATTGTTGTTCGATCATTGTCTTCTACTTTTGGCTCAACATTTTCATTTGTCTCCGTGTTTGAATTAAGTATAGGCTTCGCTTCAGTTGGGTTATCATTGTTGAGGTTTGCTACATCGTTACCTTTGAGGACCGTTGGTGTACCTGTCATTAACAAAATATATTTTCTACTGTACTTGATAAGGTATAAGTTAAACTTTATAAATAATGTGATGTATATTATTTATGAGTTGGTGTACAATTTTTTTCAAACTATGTATTGTCTAGTTGTTTTACAAGTAATATTGCAGGAAATAAATATTTTTATGATATTATATGTCTGTTTTTATTTATACCTATATAGTTTATTTTATAATAGCTTTTATTAATGAAAAATGTTTTTAATTTATGTGTATGTTATATAATGTTTGAATAATATTAATGTGGATTGATCCTTTTTTGTGCCTAAGTGTTATTTTTGATTGTATTGCTTTCTATCGCATTTAATAAGTTTAATACTTACAGTGGAAATGATCGGCTAACGCCACAATCAGAAACAATGTTACCTGGAACAAGATTAGTATTTTGGTCATACGCTGGCTACTGCTAAGGACGAGGTACTTATAGTTATTGTATACTCTGCGGCATTAGCGGCCATATTATTAAGTAATCAGATCAAACTTAAGACACTGTGACATACCACAAATATTATAAAGTACTTTTAACGAAAAGGGGAAAATAACAATTAATAAATACATTACTTCAACACTCAACCATATTTATAATTTTTATTTTTTTGAAAGTTACTTTGTTTATTTATTTTAGTTAATAAAAATATGAAATACTTTATATTTGCAATAAACTAATCTGACCATATATTCAATGAAAATTTTAACTAGGTGTTAATGGTTAAAGGAAAATTCTCAACTTTTTTATTTAAAATATGTATATAAAAAAAATAACAGTATACTCACAATAAACTTCATCGCCGCAGTATTCACACACTGTTATACTGAGACTAACCACACTGCTCAAGCTGGGCGTCGAACTGACGAGATGCGCAGATTATAGGAGCTTTTATACGAATATGTAAACCTTATCGTCTTGTGACGTCATACACTTCGTATTACTATAACTCCGATTATTAATAACCCTTTATTAAACTTTTGTGATAGTTTTGAACATTTGCGAAGTTCTTTTTTGAGGGAATAAAACCATCAAGTTTCTTCGCCCGCCCTGGGTAGGGAGGGACTGTCAAATTCTTACTTCGTACTACTTTACTTACTCCGAACTTTCGGCTATAAATCATATTCTTCAGGTCCTATAGCCTTATTGGGCCTCATTCTCATCATCACCTAATAGACACCGATAGACATCATTTTAATACTAGAGGCAAAGATAGGCTGGCTGTGCCACGATTCCGTCTGTCCAAAGTACAGAAATCCTTTATGGTCCCAAAATACAAATATCCGTAATCCTTACGTTCTGTGCGAAATTGTTACGGTAAAATTCCAAGTAGTATACCGAATATTAATGAAAGAAAATTTAAAACTTATATTAAACGCGAATTGTGTAGACAGGCATACTACAAACTTTCACTGCAGTGTTTCAACTGCATTGTTCTCATATAAGGGTACAATAATGTATTCTTAATGTTATATTAGTGAAATTGTAAAACAAATATTATTTTTTAAAAATAGTCTCACTAAAATAAGATCAGGATGGTGTTTCTTGCTCGTTCTTCTCCATTCGAATCTACAATTTGGAACAAGCACCTATCTTCACTGACGAACAGACTGACAGACTACTTTTTTTATTTTGACGTTTCAAAAGTACCCATTTAAGGTTTGTTATTTTTGGTTGAGAAACCATCTAATGATTTTCCACGCTCTTAGGTTCAAAAACAAATTTAATTTTTTTTTCAAAGTTAATGTTTAATAATATTTCCTTTATCTTAAATTAATTCTATGAAATCATTAGCAAGAATTTTGGTTTCTGTTCTGTCGCAGAGAAACAATACGTTGATTAAGTTTATACCATTTACCAGAGGCCTTCAAAGGTCACCAACAGAAAATGTCAGAAGGTAATGTTAAGCGTAGTAAACTACACAATTGACTTACTGTATTAACTATCAGGTGACATCTGACTAAAATACAGAATCACAAAACGTAAACAAATATATTAAAGAATCTGCCTAATTAAAATAATAGCACTTGCTACTCCCTGGGAATATATATTTATTATCATCATCATCATCAGCCTATAAGTGCCTACTGCTAAACAAAAGCCTCTTCTCACACAGAGAAAGTATGAGCATATAAGTCCAGGTTTCCTCGCGATGTTTTCCTTCACCTTACGTGAGTGGTGTCTAAATAATCAGAGAAAGTACATATAACTCGGTAAAAGTCACTTTTGTACATAAATAAAGGGTTAATAAATCTGAATAAAATCTTCAAACTTAGTCTGCATGCCTCATTGACAATTTTATTGTCATTGTTGGTTGCGGTTGGGCTCAGACCATGTATTATTTGAGATTTCCTTTTTTATTAACAATAACACAAAGAAATAAGTATCATTAACCAATCAATCATTAAATAAACAAAGACCATTTTAGAGTTTTGGAAATACCGAAGACAGTGTTATCACACACCCGGGACCGTGTCAGCACTCGGGTCAGCCCGTCGAGGTACCTATTACAATCAAGAAGCATAAGTTATTAAAATAAATGACTCTGATTAGGACAATAGTTTACACAACGTTCTAAGCCTCATTTGTAGTTTTGAAAACCTACTAATATTTTAAGAGGGAAAAACATCGAAGTGTTTGCGCTTACAAATGTGCTACGTTGCTACGCCGTAGTAATACGGCTACGATAATGAGTATATTATGACAATCCAAACTAATATTATAAATGCAAAAGTAACTTTGTCTGTCTGTCTGTCTTTTCTTCACGCCTAAACCACTGAACCGATTTCTGTGAAATTTGGGGCAGACATATTATATTTGTACATTATACATAATATATTACAATTGGCAAAAATTATAGGCCTTTTTGGGGAACAAATCATTAAATAACTTCTTCCGCCGCTGGTGGGGCGAAAGGGCGTGCCCATCATCCAATAACTTCTCCTACTCCGGGCAAATTACAACGCTTGCAACCGCAACCTGATCATCGGCCTTATTGAGTCCAATCTGTGGTGGTCTTGGTGGTCTAATCGGCCTTTGCTGTTGGGTCTACTGTAGCGGCTGGGGCCACCACCATTGTATGGCCTTACAATAAGGATATCCGTAACAGATTCATCCCGAAATTTGCCTGCCACTGTGATCTCTGAATCACGTAAAGATCGAATGCAAGAAAAAAATCATAAGGCATATAGTGCGACTACACACTTATCTTTATACATACATGTTATTATTATGTTGTTAATTAATATATAATAATTGTTTCTCACAAAAGGAAATTCCTAAAAGTGCGATAAAGATAATAGTAGTGCTTGCTCTGTTTTACCTTGTGATAAAATATTTAGCTCTGGGAATACTCATATTATTATTGATAATACAAAGGTTAAAAGTTATCACAATGTTTTATAGCTTATTGTTATAATTACTCGTTTAATTTGTCAGTGATTGTATTATTCATTTTTTATTATAAGGTTATTTTTGATAACCCTATATTATTTTAATTTATATTAAAATATGAAAATTATTAAGTATGTAAACGTTTTTATAATAACTATCGTGAGATATACTAAATTAACTAAAAATCGCGGGTTACTCACGTGTATAATATTGAGAACAGGTCTACGCGCAGCCTACCTCACCTCCAGCCTACCTTGCCGCGTCCGCGCACGCTGCTCATGAGGAAGAACCCCTCTGTGGTTCGAAACTAGTAGAGCTTTTTTCGATATTATACACCTTACCTGAGTAACCCGCAACTTTTAGTTAATTAAGTATGTAAACTTTTTTTTTCTCCTTAGAATCTGCAACAGCTTAGATCTTGCTAAAAAGGGTTTGACATATGCTGCACAACAGACGCCCTTTCTTTCGTTGCATTTTTTTAATGTGAAAAGATTTGGACACCTTTAAATTCAGTCATACTTAGCGATCTTAACTCTAATAGATATTTCTTTCCTACATTTTTAAGTAACCAGTTACATTAGACAAAAAATAATTTGGTATATTGAAATAAAGTAACGCCACCAAATACAATGTCCCTAATACGACTTTATGCTTCACTAACGCCATCTCGTGAGCTTTACATGGAAACTTATGCTCGAGCGATACGAAGTTCATTAGGTCAGTTTGTTTATAAAAAAAAGTGTCAAATTATTTTTTTATAACTTCGGAATTCCCAAGAGGCGACAGTTCTCATATCACGTAGTTGTTCTATCTGGTTAAAACTAATAATAACATAATAATGACTATTTATCTATCTTTTTTTAACACCAGGTCAAACGAAACATTGCATTGGCAAAACAAATCAAAAACACAAATATTGGTTCTTCCAATAATCTTCTCCTTTGTTTTAGCGTACGAATAGCGGATCCTTAAGGCTAAAGACTAGGGAAGGTGGAATTTCTACCTTTATGAATCATTCAGATCACCCTGATAGTCTGACGGCCACCTTCAGCACATGTAAATCATCGCGCAAGACTGGTTATGGCTCAAGCCACAGTTCTTGGTTTTCACTATTACCTATCTATTTAATTCTATTAGTATGCAATATTGATTACGCTGATGTGTGTTACTACAACCTAAATGCAGACTTTCCCAATAAATTCCACTGTTTTCCGAATAACTGCATCTGAAGCATTTTCGAACATGTCTCTGAATATTGATTACTATCGATTCGATAATAGTGAACAATGGGCACTAACCACTTCATTCTCCTCCTACTTCCAGCCCCCATAGAAGCGCAAACTACAGTAAGTGTATTAATTCTATTATTAAATACAATTTTTTTGCCATGTCCCAAACCCCGGACCAACTTTCATAACTTTTCTTTTTTTTGTCCAATTCGTTTTACTGCAGAATTCACTGCCCACTGATGTCAGGATGGCAACCAGCCGGCTAACTTTGAAAGTTCGATGATGTGATTGTTAGTCGAGGTTAGTTGGAACCAACGCAAGCAAAGCCAATAGGCAGAAGCTAGTTGAAATTGTTATGTTGACACATATGATAAGAGGAATCAAAACAAATTATATTGGGGCTTGCCATTTTTATTTTTGTTTCACAATCTGAACGCAATATTTAATGTTTACGTTATAATGTTTATAGTTAAGGTAAACATTTTTTAAGTCTAATAAACATGTGGCGCCATCTCTTGATGTATTATCAATATAACTTAATGAAGCACGAAGAAAAATAGTGCGCCTAATTAAGTAGGTTACATCTACTAAGACTACTATCTAAATGGTTTGGCTTACTGAAAATAAGGTTAGTGAAATGGTAATATAGTATACTTTTCAGCCGGGGTTGCGGGGTAAGCGCAATGAGGCACCGCGACCTCGGCCGAGAGCAGTAGAAGGAACAGGGGGTTTTTAGTCAGTAAGAGTCTGACAATCCCTACCGCCCGACTGATTTTCCATGATGGTAATGAATGAGGGTGTTTGTATGTATCCTAATGTTGCATAATCTATACATATACAATATTTAATACTACGTCATCGATTGAATAATAATCTGTGATGTGCAAAGGCCAGTAAAAATTATTTCGTTTTTAGAAGATTACTTGTATTTACTAAAACCAGTTCCCAGGGATAAACATCAATGATGAGCGAGATCCCTCTCGCTCGTCATTGATGTTTGGTGTGAGGTGTCGAACTCTTACTGACTAAAAACTCCTGTCCCTTTTCCTGCTCTAGGCCGAGGCTGCGGTACCTTATTGCGCTTGCCTCGCAACCCTGGTTGGACATCGGACCTAAAGGGCACCGTCAGTGATGGTCTATTGGCTCTTTGAGGCGCGCGCGGAACGCAAAAGGGGTAGGGTTTTTGAGTCTTCCCAGAATTAACTCAAATAAGTTTTTTGGCAAAATTCCATGAAGTTACATAGTGTTTTGCCATGTGAGTCAGGTTACCGGAAGCCCAATCCTTCCACCCCATCCTGAATCCTCAAATCCGGATTTAAGGATAAGCCCTAAATCCCTAATAACGCATTCCAGGCTGGCAACACACTTGTAGTAACTCCTTAGGTATTACAAGTGTTCATGGGCGGTGCTGATGCTTACCATCATATACCTACAATATAAATACAAACCGTCTGCTCGTTTGCCGACCTATACCATGAAAAAAAACAAAACAGTTTGTATTGGAAAGAAAATCCTCCTATTCTTTAAAGAAAAAAGATAATTGTCGTGTTTAGTACCTTACATAACTTTACATATTATATTATCACCGTCTCAACTTTTATTAGACTTTTTCATGTATATTTGAAGATAGTTTTTATTAACCAAGTTGGTCCAGCCGTTTTAGAGTTATAGCGAATTTTGCAGTTTTATGTAATAGATAATTTTAATTTGTTTAATAAAAGAAAACATAAAAGTTCTGTGACTCTGTTAAGCGTCTTCGATTATTTTTACTAAGTAGGCCCCAATTCTTTTAAAATATAGGACGAAAGAAATTTAAAATCAGCGTGGGATAGTCAATGTACTTTTGAGAAAGACGATCGCAGTGATACCGCGGCCTCACAGAAATCAGGCGTGTAACAGCGTTTGCATTATAATTCGGTGTAGTGGCTAAATTTTTTTTCATGTGATAGATCGGCAAAACTAGCATGCGCATTACCTGATGGTCAGTGCCGCCTATAGGCACCCCAACAGCAACACCGAAGGAGTTACGAGTACGTGTGCCGCCTTTTAAGGATTAGTGCTTCGGATATTTAGGGGTTGACGAGGAATGGCGAGAGGGGAAAGTGTTAAATTTTTTATCATATTTTATTTATTTATACACTTTATACAAATACATGTAAAGGCGGACTTAATGCTTTAGGCGTTGTCTAATAGTCGACCTTTGGGTGATTCAGAGATTAGAGTGGCAGGTGACCTCATTATCATCGTCCCATTGAAAATGATTTTTGTAACTGACTGTCCATTTATCGGAGGAGCCACGCAGTGGGTAAAACCGCGCGGAAGTAACTAGTCTTTCATCTTATTAATAAATAAAAATGAATGTTCAGAGCAGGTCAAGTCCTGATAAACTTATATCGTAAATAATTTGCCTATTATCTTTACATAAAAGTAATAAATAATGAAGGATGCTCTCTCAGTATACAAAGTGAAGAGAATTACTCTGGACGTCGTTACAAATTTGTAATCATGAATATAATTGTAAGTTTATTATGATTTTTGAGAAATGTTTAAAAAAATATTTTGTTTAATTAATTTAATTCAATCAAATTTTTTTTTATATAACGTTTATGTGCTGATTTTACTTATTATTATTTTTACATGCATTTTTTATTAGGCGTAGATACTATTTAAGATATCTATGCTGTCTTTGTTTTACTTTTTATTTCAATTTAATTTTAAAACAATGGTATTTAACTAATGTTTTTTTTTATAAAAGCCATATTTCCTTATTTTAACTATTCATTGAGTTTTGAATAGACATCACAGGATTTTTTAACAACTTTTGTCACACAGGAACATTGTAGCTATAAATCAGTAAAAGAATTTTGAAAACCAGATTACCGGTTCCAACAATATTCCCTACATCACCACTCTAAAATTTTGTTTAGTATGTACAAGAATATATTTTTAGAGCCTCTTTTTTTTTTGTTTTCAGTTGAGCTGCGCCTTTATTTTAACAATAACGACCCATTGTTACGGTATGTTTGTTTTACCCTTTTTTTATTACAATTATTATTCGGAATAAAAAATGTTTTTTTATTTGCAATAATTTGGTCAATGGATCACATAATGGCAAGCAAACAGTGTCGCTCGTGGATTCCTGCAATATAAGTGCGTTGCCAATATTTTGAGGGTCTGGGAATGTGGAACACTTTGCAAACATTGTTTCACGACGATTCTGATTGAACATGCAGAATTAATGCAAAAGCATAAATTATCCACATTAAAATATATTATTGACATCAGTGGATTTTAAACCCGCATCGTTGGCCTAGACAGAACTATTATCAATAGAAGTTTTTTTTTGTTAGGGGAAAATCATCAAATGACTTCTCCCGCCCAGGGTAAGCTGAGAGAAAGTGTCAAACTCTTACTGACTAAAAACACCCCCGTTCCTTCTCCTGCTCTGGGCCGAGGTTGCGGTGCCTCATTGCGCTTACCCCGCAACCCCGGCTGAACATCAGACCTATAGGGCATTATCAATAGAAGTTGGATATTCAAAACTGTTCTTTAAGACCTAACACATATGTGGCGCCATCCCTTCGAATCCTTGCTAATTAATGAACCATGATTAATCCATTCGTATACTTTAATCAAGTGACTATAATTAACATAGTAAAATTAAAATTCATAATATGTCTAAACTACATTTCAAGTGTATATTTATTTACCTCTTTACGTTCGCTTACATACAAAACTTACTAAAATAATAATCTGTTTATTTCAGGTGTGTCCAGGATCAGTGTAAAACACTCAAATTATACTTATAACTACGGCTTCCAAGATCAGAGCGGGCTCGCCATAAACCGAGCCGAAGATGGAACATGGAAAGTTCAATCTCTAAGCAATTCTAAACCCCAATATTCTTACTCATCAAGGACAACTAAAGAATCTTTTAATTCCGACCCTCAGAGGACAGATTCTTATCAGCGCCATTATCAGGATAGAATGACTACAACACCTGAACAGCCGACGCCATCAAACAGACCGAGGCCGCCAATCAACAACATGGATCATACGACTCAACCAGGCGTTCCAGTAAGGAGACCAAATAACCAGCCTTATTATCCACCCAATCTGTCTACCACTGAACCATCGGCACACCCGGTTTCCGGATTTCCACAGGAAGAAGGTCAACGACCCCAGCAAGGTCAACGACCGAAAAATAGGAATACAGTTTTCACCATGGTAGATGACAATTCAAATGTACTTGTATATAACTCAAACGGTTTGCCGATCTATCAGAATACGCACACGTTTTCTAGAAACCCACCATATGACTCCCCACCCCGTCCTACTTATCAGCCTAGACCTAGACCTGTATACCATCCCACCCCCGAGTACCCCCGACCTGACGCCCACTACCCAACATATTATGATAATAACAACGGAGGCGTGTACGTCCATCAATCAGTCAACACAGGTGGACCATTCCCAAATTTCGTCAACAATTATGTACATATACCTTATTAACCATATGTTTGGAAAGTACAAAAATCACTAAAAACTATAATGTTTAATTAGCTCGATTGTCAGAAAGTCTCAATAAACAATCAATATTTAAAAGTTTATTTTTTTTATTTTAGATATATGATATCCGACTCGAGTTCTTAATACAAATTTAATTATAGACATATTACAATGAATATTTGTTTTATTTTTCATCTCGTGTATTTTTTACATGTAGTACTTCTAACATTCCTGACTGGCTATAATGGGCTTTGAAACAACAACTTTGTTTTCTAAAATAAAATAAAGAATTTAGATGAAGATTAATCTTTCTATTGTATTACGAAGAGAAGAGGTTGGCAAAAAAGCTTAAATAAAACAAATCTTTACGCAAAACGACATGTGGTTGGTTTTGTATAACTCCAATTGTTGAGAACATTGAAGAAATGACATAGGACGACTAGACTGCGATATTATCGGTTGAATGGAGTCTCAGAAGGACGATGTTTCCTAAAAATATCGCGATATAGTGAAATACGAAACTTAACTTTAACAGAAACACAATTTTATAGTGAACTAACAGACCCAGCCACGCGTTGCTGTCTTGCTGTGGCTAAATAATATTGTAACTATCAATTCAGATGTAATCTATCCTATCTTTGAAGTTGGATCAATCGGCAAATCGATTTTAAAATCGGTTTAGTAGTTTAGGAGTCCATCGCGGACAAACACGTGACACGAAATTTTTATATATAGGCAATTCTAGTTAGATTTTTGAGCGAAATTGAATTCATCGTAACAATTGGCAAAATAGCAAGGAGCCCATTAAAGGGATTTCTGTAGTAACTCGAGCGCTTATAGCAAGTATCCTGTTGAATATCTCTACAATGGATACATGCAATATTAACAAAAGTTATACTTAACAATTTGGTGAATTATCGATGTATCGGTTCCTTCTTCCCCCACTAGAGGAAGGGAATGTGACTAAACCATTGTTTCCTTCTATCACCTAATTTTCAAAATCTAGATGGTCACTACGACGCTTGTAAATAGCTCCACTAAGAGGACTGACCGACAGACTGACACTATATCTTCAAAATTTTGTTTGACGTTCAAAAGTGCCTGTAAGGGTCTAATCGGAATAAATGATTTTTGACTTGAGCAATAGAAAGCATCTACTAAAAATACGTCAAAATCTTAATATCAAAATTGTTGGGTTTGGTGGTGCCATATATGATTGATGTGCCGTTGATTGGCAAAATTCTTTCGCTGATAGATAGCTACATTGTTCCTGAGTGCTATACGCTATAAAACATCACGCTACGATAAAAAAAGGAGCGGGTGAAACCGCGCGAGAGTAGCTAGTAATTTATACGCCTATAACATATTTCATAGCAGAGACCTTGTATATGACGTAATGCCTTCAAAGTATAGCAGGAACCAAAACAACAAATAATAACAAAATATCCATAATATATATACTGTTTTCTTTTTTTATGTTTTTTTTTTTTGTGAGGGGAAAATCATCAAATGACTTCTCCCGCCCAGGGCCGGGCAGGAGGGAGTGTCAGACTCTTACTGACTAAAAACCCCCCTGTTCCTTCTCCTGCTCTGTGCCGAGGTCGCGGTACCTCATTGCGCTTACCCCGCAACCCCGGCTGAACATCAGCCCTTTAGGGCCCCATCTGTGGTGGTCGAATGGCTCTTTGAGGCGCGCGCGGAACGCTACGCGCCGTACGCTCGGGCCTGGTTCTGGTCGGGCGGCGAGCTACCCTTACTCGCCGACCGCAGGCCCGTGCTTACGGTGGCCGGAGATCGTCCCGCGATCCCCGACGCCCGTAGTGTCGCCAGTTGCGGCTGCTGGGGCGTGAGGAGGAGGATTGCTCCCTCACGCGGGCCGCCTCTCTCTTTGCGAGCATGACTGCTTCACAAAAGGAGGAGACGGCGTCCCAGTTCCTCTCACTCTGCACCATGGCCTCGACTAAGGCTGGGCGCGAGGGGTCGCCGCCGCCGATCACTTCCCTGAGGATACGGCGGTGCTCAGCCCAGGCAGGGCATACCGCTACCGTATGCTCCACCGTATCCTCTAGGTGGTCCTCACAATGATGACACTCGGGCGTTTCCTCCCGCTGAATCTGAAACAGGAACCTACCGAAGCTGCCGTGCCCGGTAAGCACCTGCGTCAGACGGAAGGTGAGGACGCCGTGGCGTCTCCCAAGCCACTCCTCAAAGAGGGTTCTTACCGCTGCTATGGTAGCGTGCCCGGCCCTCGGTTGCGACAGTCGTTGTTTCCACTCTGCCATGAGATCTCGCCGGAGCTCATTCCGCCACGCACTAATTTGGCGCGGCAGAGGATCTTCGCCCCGGCGACGCGCGTCTGCGCGCAAACTGTAGACGCGCGCGAGCGCCTTCGCTTCTAGATCCCACGGCGGTGATCCGGCAAGGATTCTTTTTTTATGTGATAGGACAAACGAGCACACGGATTACCTGATGGTGAGCAATCAGCGTCGCTCATGGACACCCGCAACAGCAGAAAAGCTACGAGTGCGTAGCCCACTTTTTGGGGATTAAGAATTTGGAGATTTAGGGATTGAAGAGGGATTGGGAGAGGTAAAGGATTGGACCTTAGATAACCTTATTTCTTAACCTGGTTGTTTCACACCGGTTTTCTATGAGGCCGTGGTATCAATCCGGTCGAGCCGACCCATTCGTGATGAAGCAAGAAGTTTAAATGTAGCTGTCCCACACTTAAACTTCTTTAATCATTCTTTGGTAATCAATTACTTAAGTATAGCATTAATAAATCACTATCTAAATTGATCTATTCGTCATGAATGCAAATAACCGCAAAGTAGTATTTTATTAAGCCCATTTTGAAAACAAATTGAGGTTTTAAATATTCTTAATTTATATTGTTATTTGTATTAGACTAATGACGACAGATTATTTCTCATCACAAGTTTGCATATACATGGAGAGATTCTAAACAATAATAATAATATATTTTCAGTTAACTTTTGTTAAAAATACTAATGCTTAAAATGTATTTTTGATAAAAACTTCAGTTTATATACATAATTAACGAAATTATTCGTATTGCTTCAACTTACGTATTACGTCACACAGCTAATGGTAAATATTGGTGTTATACACAAATATGGTTGATTTGTTGCAAACAAATAAAAATAATAATCGATGACTGTGGGAGGCATTATCTCTATTATTGTTTGTAACAAGCCCATGTAACTCCGAGATCCCTCATTCTCCTTCACTGGGTAGGAGAAGGCAATCGTTATGAAACTCCTATATTACCATTATAAAAATACATGCAAGCTGTATTATAGCATGTTGGCCTATGACAAGAATGGCTATCAGTTATATACTGGTATAATTAAACTCACTGAACCTGTATTGAATGTTTGGGGAAAAGGTATAGAAAAAAAAAACAAAAATAAAATAGCTGCAGCTAAATTATAATGCTCTATAAAAGTAAAACTAGTACATAGATATGTTTGCAGTACAAAAAATAAATGAAATCGGTGTGCTTTGGTCTATAAAAAGGTCTTGATACATTATTATTTAACTTTTTCCATCTTGGGTTGGCTTAGCGTCCGTTTTGGGCAACTCCTTGGGCAGGTCTAGTCTGCCGTCTGTTCGGGATTGGTCGGGATGACCTTCGGGACGAGCTGGTGGAACTTGCTGGTCGTGTCGGGGTGCATCCTTGGGCGGCTCCGAGGTCTTCATGTTAGGAGGCATCTCCGCGCTGGCAGCTAAAGCCACCAATACCATCAAACAGACGAGCATCTGTTGGCAGAATAAGTAAAAAGTATTAATTTTGATTAAAATTTTGGGCCTCAAAAAGCTACTAACAACTACAGCCCCATGGGGTGGGCTAATTGGGGATAATTGGCGTTTCTCATCCCAAAAACTAAAAACCCGATGTATCAAAATTTTGTGGTTGGCTTTATTTTTCATAACTTACAAATAGCATTGAGGATTTCACTAGGGGAGCATTAGGATCCTAGCTAGCACCTTAACTGATATTTTGAACGTAAAATCATCAAATCGAGCAGTTCAGAAACCTTTGTATGAAAATACTGCAACGCAAACTAGTTAATTTATAAATTACACACCGCCTTGTAGCACCTGACAGAAAATTTAGAGCAATGCGCACTGGGTACGATTGCACACATTTTAATTATCGTTACTAAACATTCATCGTTATAATCTACTAAATAGGTTTCCCCTGTTTGAATATATTTAATTATAGGTCAAGATGTACGGGACCTCTGTGACCCCTGAAAAGTGTTAAGGGTTATATTATAAGTAAGGAGGCATCGAAAGTTGTTGACCGAAAAAATATTAGGATAAGTACCTACAAGATTTTTTTGGTTGTTGTAGGTACGTTGAAGTAATTAACAAACTAATTTTCTAAATGCGAAAGTAACTTTGTCTGTCTGTCTGTCTTTTCTTTACGCGTAAACTACTGAACCGATTTCTGTGAAATGTGGTACAGACATGTTTTGGAACTCCAGAAAGGACATAGAATAGTTTTTATTCTACAGGAAATCTCTATGCCACGTAAAAGAAGTCGCTCATAATTTCAATTGACAATGCGAGAGAATGTTATTGTAGGTGTTAATACTAGACTAGGACCTTCTTTTGATTTTGATCGCGAATGACAAAAAGTGACATAACACGCCTCCAATCCCGGAAGGAATTGGTAGGGGTGTTCTTCATCATCATCATCATCTTAAAGTGACTTCTCTCGCCCAGGATGAGGCGATAGGGAGTGTCAAACTCTTGGTGACTCAAAACCCCGTTCCTTCTCCTGCTCTAGGTCAAGGCCGCGGTGTCGGAACCCTGTAGGGCACAGTCTCTAGTCGTGTATCGGTTCTATGAGGCGCGTAGAACGCTACGCGCCGTACCCTCAAGTACCTATTGATCAAGATTTAGGAGATAAAAAGACTAGCATTGAGAGTTTAATATCAAAAGATATCGTCGAAATAGAAAATAAAGATTATCAATGGAAGTGTGCACAGTCGGTGCGGTGGCTGGGCAACTGGCTGCCGTGCAACGTGTCGCGGGTTCGATTCCCCGCACAGAACAACACTTTGTGTGATCCACAAATTGTTGTTTCGGGTCTGGGTGTCATGTGTATGTGACATTGTATGTTTGTAAACGCACCCACAACACAGGAGAAAATCCTAAAGTGGGGCAACGTTTTTTAAAACAAAAAAAAAATGTGACGGTCACATATAAAATTGTACAAAATGCTTATAGTTAATAATAGGTACACCCGCGCGATTTCACCTACTACTCGGGTCTTACTGGTTGTAGCGATGTTTTGTAGTCTTCCTGAACAAATAGGCTGTCTAGCGCAAAAAGAATTGTTTCATTCGAACCAGTGGTTTCTGAGACTACCGCGTTCAAGTAAACAAGCATAATCTTTAACTTTATTAGTATGGATTATTATACAGCGATATTAGTGTCTTAGGTGCATTTATAAACATAAAAATTCACATAAGCCACAGACCCAGACACGTTACAAATTTCTGGATCACACAAAGTATTGTTTCAAGCGGGAATCGAACCTGCAACACGTTGCACAGCAGCTAGTTGCCCAGCCACTACTTTAACAATGCAGTTGTACAGCTAATTATAAGTTTGATATCACCAGGCCGTTTTGAGCAGGTGTGGTAATTAACGCTCAAACCTTCTCTGTCTGAGAAGAGGACGTTGCTTAGCAGTGAAAACTTACAAGCTATTACAAAGATATTAAGAAAAGTCCACACTTACCCCCAGACGAGACATGTTGGATTATTTTACAATATCTAATGACTGACTGACTTCTAAGACTGCAAGTGTCCTTTTATAGTACTTTCCAACATAAACAAATGAACTACTTATTTCTACTTGCGTCACTTATAATGAATCGAAGCAGAAAAAACTAGTAATTACCAACATTTATTACAATGGATTGTGTAGGATATAAGTCTACATGCCCATAGCACTGTCAATCAAGATTCTTATGAGCAATTATTTCATTACAGGCCATCTTTCATTAGTGTGTTAACGTAGGATTATATACAGGTCTCATTTATAACTCTAAATCATGGAAAATTATTAGTCCAAGCTTAAAAAAATATTAATTTATACTTCAATCTCTCAATTTCTCAATTTCTAAATCCCCTAATTCCACAAAACCTATTGAATTCCTGTACCAAATTAGATGAAACCTCCTTTGTTTTACTTACTTGCAGCAACCCATATTCATCAGGTAGGTAAACTAGAGAAAAATAATCGAGCAGATTCGAAAAAAAGGGACTGTTGCGGTTGCCATCTTTATGGTCAGCAATGCAAAGTTTTTTTAACAAATCATTCTTATTAGTACTCATTATAATAGGTACATTTCGGAAATCTTTTTAAGGGCCGTGATTAACATACATAAGAAGCGCTCACTGTTTCTAGTGACATATATTATTATAGATCTCAAAATGGAATGGAAAACCGGCCACTCAAAATAAAACAACCATAGCGTTATGTCTCTCCGTGTGAGTGAGGTTACCCCTAATCCCTTAATCCCTTATCCCCAAAAGGTCGGCATTGAACTCGTAACTCCTCTGTTGTTGCGAGTGTCCATGGGCGGCGCTGATTGCTTACCATCAGGTAATCAGTCGGCGCGTTTGCCGAACTTTCACATAAAAAAATCCTAATATTGTAAACATGTTCACGACATTAAAGATTATTGGCCAGGTTCTTTGCAGGGTTATTTGTCAGAAAGGTAGGTCAATGTCAATATAGGTAATTTGGGTACACGACGCTTGGCAACAATAAAAGCCTTAACTAAAAATTTATAACAATTTCTTTAGAAGACTAGAGAAACATGAATTTTAATTATGGAATGCAAAATTTGAGAAAACAGTATTTGGGTACATACACACAGTAGACAAAAACTAAAAGTTTATTTTGTAAATTTTTAAAGAAGCAATTAGGTTTCTGGGAAGACTTTTGTTGTTTAGTTGCTCATTTGCCACCACGAGCGTGGGGGTTGTCGTCTGAAAAATAAGAGAAACATGGTTAAATACTATTATAAGGTGTCAACATAAACCGACCCAGCCTATCTCATCTTGCAGCCCCCTTGAAATGACCTCGCTGAGCCGTGGTTCGAACCCCACAGCGGGTGCCTTCAATGAAGCAGTTATAGCAGAATAGGTACCGTAGTTCGCATAACCACCAATGACCTTCTTAAAAAAAGTAGTCCATACTGGTGGAACTTCCTCAAACATGGTATTTACAGAACGAACCAAGAACAAATAATGGGATAGTTTAGTTAGGTGTCCTACTTAAATGATCATGGACTTCTTACGGATTAAGGTTTAGACTAAGCTTATAGCTTAACCCAACAGAGAATGGCAAAGTAAAAAATATGAAAAATCCCTAATCAATTAATTTTTATATCAATATCAGTAGCAACGATCCAGCTGATGATAATTACAAGACATATCCTAGCCTATAGCCATGTTATTCTTTACGAAGGTAAAAAGTAAACATTGATTCAGTACGAATAATGTAACCATTCGCTGGCAGCAGCAGCTCAACAATGGTTCCCAAAGATTTGGCTTCGTTAAAAGCATCCAATTTATAATGAACAGAGTACTATCTCTAACATGAAGTAATCCTGTTCATACTGTTACACTAGTTCTGTTCAGCCAGGGTTGCGGGGCAAGCGCAATTAGGCACGGCGACCTTGGCCCAGAGCAGGAGAAGGAACGGGGCTTTTTAGTCAGTAGGTAAAAGATATGAAGTAAGAGTGATCTCGCCCTACCCTGGACGAGAGAAGGGATTTGATGATTTTCCCCTCACATGCATTACAATTCCATTGCTTACATGAATTTATTAAATTTTATTTAGAAAGTGTAATGACATCTTTTGTGTCTATTCTAGATTGTTTGTTCTTAAAATGACAAAGTATAATGCTTAACCGCAATCCGGGAATTGAACCCAGAACTCAAGTCACCCTTATGGCTAATACAGCGTATGTTATAACTAAACTTGACTTATAGAAGACTAGATTGAAGAAAAGAAGATAGATGAGAAGGGATAAAGAATAAAAGAAGAACTGGTTAATAACATCTTTGAGGAACATATAATGTTAATTTATAAAATAAAATAAAATCACAAATGATTATTGCATAAAGCAAAACTCCTGAGTTTCTGCCTTTCTGGATGAATGAAAATATTATTTAGTTTAAGAGGCAAAGTTTCTTTTGGAAGAGAAGAAAATGGAAACAGAGGCCTACCATGACGTGTTAAAGCGTCAATCTTCCGGACGAGAAAGAGGGATGGAGGTATAAAAGGCGTATAGCTCCATCCCTCTTTCTCGTCTGGACCGCACCAATTAGGCCATCACACGGCAGGCAAAAACGGAGAGGGTTGCTAGGCAACAATAAAAGTCGCAAGTACAAATATAAGTAAATACTGTTTATTTACACTATTTTGTGAACAAGAAGACAGAAAAAATTAAAAATGTAATGAAAATACAAAATTGTTTTAAATTTAAATTGAGTAGTAGAATGAAGAGAGATGTTCTTAATTAATTGATTCATTTGCCACCGCGAGCGTAGGGGTTGTCGTCTGTAAACATATTTCTATATAAGAATACATAAATATAAAGATAAATAATATAAAACTATATAATAATAAATAAAAATAATCATAAAAACTTTTCTTTTTGTTCTCAAGATGAAAAAAATAACGTATGCTATTAAAAAGTATAACCTATCCCTATGACTTCAAATCCAATGTCACTCGGATACATTTAGTCGGTTGTTTTTACAAACTTAATCTTAGTATGTAAATCTGTATGTATTAGAAGATTTTGTTACAAAATTATAAGTAGAAATTAAAATTTTAGCTTTAAGTAGACTTGGGACTTTTTGGTTTGTTAAGTCTATCTTAAAAAATATACGGTTAAGCGGATTTAATAGATTTCGAGGGGTAAATAGATACAGAAAAGGGGACTTTCCTACTATGTATAACCCTTCCATGTATACTGCTGGAATTTACAAGTAGAGGCCATGAAATGATTTGTCTTATTTTTTGTGGGGGGAAATCATCAAATGACTTCTCTCGCCCAGTGTAAGGCGAGAGAGAGGGTCAACTCTCACTGAATAAAACATTCAGTGAGAGCCGTTACTGCGCATCCTGCAACGCTGGCTGAACATCAGCCGAATTTCTATTCCCCTATTACTCATGGAGGACAATTAATAGAGAATAAATTGTTCTATAAAAAAGGGTTTTCTAAGACCGTATGGAGTTAATCGTACAACTATCCAATGAAATGTACACTCACATTGCTTGCCAGGGTAGGGACGCTGGACCCAGGCTGGGGAGATGTCTGTAAAAATAACAAATTGCGTCACTCACTTCTGCATAATATCGTTGTTGTTTCGTTCCGTATGGGAATTGAATCCACGACGATCTAATAGTGACAACATTTAATATCGCAGAAAATATCTTTAAAAACAATTTTTATTATTTTAAGTATTAATCAGTATTAAATTGGGTACCAACGGTAGATTTAGTAACAAGTGGTGTAATAATGACGAAATTATAAGTATGAAGAATTTACTCAATGATATTTTTTTAAATTTATTCATTCTTATATTGCTTGAATGCATAATTTTATTTTATTAAGAGCTGATTTTTCAATAGTCAGAAAAATTTTATTACACGAATTAAATTGTTGCTGTCACTGTCTTATACAAACATTCTGACGCGACAGCATCATAATTATTCCGCAGATAACTTTTGTCTAACCGTTGAAAAATCAGCCCTTAAGGAAGGATTTAAATAAAGATTTTCCGTTGTTGGTGGCGATACTTACCAGGTTGTTCTGAAACAAAGAAGAAAGAAAAATTGATGAAGAAGTATAAGATGTTAAAGAAGAATGAAAATAAAGAATAATTAAATGAAGACATACTAAATTAACTAAAAATCGCGGGTTACTCACGTGTAAACATTGAGAAAAGCTCTACTAGTTTCGAACCACAGAGGGGTTCTTCCTCATGAGCAGCGTGCGCGGACGCGGCGACGTCGCGCAGCCTACTGATTTTGAGGTTTTCTCAATATATACACGTGAGTAACCCGCGATTTTTAGATAATTAAATGAAGATAAATAAGCTTAAGATCGGTTTTTCCAGAAACCAGATAGAATGTTATATTATTTCCCATGTAACGGCGGTAACATACATACGTGTGGTAGCTTATGGTACGCTTTCTGTGCTATGATTTCTTATTCCCACGACATGTAAGTACTTTTTCGCTTTTATAGTGTTGAAATCTACAGTATAATCTTAATTCTAATAGAAGTTAGGCTAATGCTTCTGATGTAGTCATCAGAAGCATTAGCCTAACTTCTATTCTTCTACTATACTGTAGATTAAGGCATAGAGTCGTCATTAAGGATTTTTGTTTTTATCAAATTCAACCCCTAATAATACTACAAGACCACGCGGAAGATCACCTATGCGTTGGACCGACCAGGTTAAATCAGCAGTAGGAACGCGTGTATCTGACTGCACCAGACAGTCTGCCAACAGGGAGAGATGGCGGGAAATCGTGCGGAGAGCTGTGTCCGCCTCTACCACCGATGTGGATGCCTCTAAGTGACCACGACCGCGAAGACAAGAAGAAACGACAGAGAAGAAGAATAATACTGCGCTCGGCCAGGGAATCGAACCCAAGATAGCAAGTTACCAAACCACCCCATCATCAAAGTTCTCGTTATAATTATTTATTCTTGTATAACTTTTCAAATAATCTTGCGAAGACACTCACCAGGGCGTTCTGAAACAAAAAGAAAGGCATTTTAATATAAAAGAATTAAAATGAAATTAAAAGTAAAAGTCAAGTAATATTATAAAAATTGGACTGAATGCCGAATTACAGGCAAACCAGCTTTCATAGAATTTATTAAAAATAAAGACCTAATCACGTGCATTAACCGCGAAAAGCTTCCTTTACTAATTTCGAGGCACAAAAACGAACAAGCTGCGTGAAATTGTCGCCGCGACGTGTATTCTGCTTTCAAATAAGAATTGCTTCGTGACTTGAAACTAGTAGAGCTTTTTATGCTAGGGCCACACTGGCGGGAAATGTCAATAATTATCGCGATAATTGATTATATTAAATAATGTAAAATATATCTTAAATCATTTGTTTAGTGATCAAATTACACCTACGATTAATGTACGTAATCGCGATAATAAATGGCTTTTCCCGTTAACGTGGCCCAAGCATTACAGATAAACCACATTTTTTTCAATAAATATACTTTATCTCATGTTGTAGGAAGGTCGTAATAAATTGGTTTTGTGTAGTTTTTGTGTTTCTAACCTCTTTTTAATCGAGTAATAGTAATAATATCAGCAAGAAGTTCTTTAATAAATTTAATTAGATTCAAAGTAATACTCACGAGGGTATGAGGGCTGGCCGAAGTAGGGGTCAGCTGTAAATTAAAAAATAATCATATAAGTAGGTATTTTTATTTCATAATTATTTTATAAAAAGAAAAGTTCATAATTTTATGAGTTCCGGTCGCAACTTGAAACTAATCGAGCAGTCACCGCGAATTAGCCATAAAAAAGCTTTAGTCTTTTTAGAGGGAGAATAATCTTAATCATCAAATGACTTCTCCCGCCCTTGGGTAAGGTGAGGGTCTGACTGTTATTGATTAAAAACCACCCACTCTTTCTACTGCTCAATTATGTACCTACCTAGTTAGGTAGGTTCCATTAAATATGGAATTTAGCACATTAAGTTTCGAGTGAATAGAATCAGAAAATAGCTTTTCTCTCATTTGGTGGTTCTCTATACACATTCACATATTTTTTCATGTGGGAGTTGAACCCATAACGTAACTCCATTTTAATCTTTTTTTCTCTGAAGTAAATAATAAATAAGAAGATACTGTTGTTGTATACTTACGGTTGGTGATCACAACTGTAACAAGAAAATAAAATAAAATTAGTATCAAAATTTTAAGCAATAACTCGATAACGAAAAAAATTTACGTGGATTCTGAAACGTTTAAGACCCACAATTTCAAAACACCCAAGGCAAAAATAAAAGTGGTTTCCTAGTCTAAAAATAAATTATTTACACTGTTTTTAAATACCATGAATTATTAAAATATAATCGTAGTTTTGTCTAAATTATTATTAATTTAAAATTTTCCTAAATAGGACTGCCCTATTACATAAAAAAAACTATGACGTCATATGTTCCGATTTTGTACAGAATTCGTAGAAATGCCAAATGCCTGTGCTTGCACATAGGACTAATATATATATATATAATAATCACACAGACATGGGGGATTTCGTACAAGGAGTATTTATTGCTTAGCGGACGTACCTTGGTCAGAGTTGCCATCTACGATATGCACTGAAAATATGAAATGTGATGGTTAAAAGCAAAGCCAAAACATAGCTGTCTATTGCTATGGTAATATTTTATTTAGAAAGTACCAAGATCTAACAAAATTTTCATCAATAAAAAGTGCAAAAATTAATCGCTACCTTAAATGCTACCTTGAGACACAAGCAGCTCGCAAACGGACATGTATATCTACGGACACAATAATTATGTAGTGCAAGACACTAGTTCAAATAATCTTTACAAATCACAATTTACATTTGACTTTTTGTAGAACAAAATTGACATAAAACCTTCAATACTTTCGTTCAACAAAAATTTTAAAAAAGTTAAAAAAATGGCGGTTATTTTAATTTTTTTTTATTTTGTTAGACCTTAATATCTTAGTAAAGCAGATGCTCACCAGCAGTCGGGTCGTTGGGGTTGTTGTTGACAAAGTTCACTAAAATAAATAATGAGGACAATTAATATAAAGCAAAGCATTTTTGCATTGACAGTTGGTACAGTTAAGCCACTGAGAACATCACAAAATGTAGCAAGATGGTTTATTATTCATAGGAAACTAACTTCTTTATCTAAATATTTTATTACTACTATTATTATTTATTTATATATTGCCACTATATCTTTACCATTATTGTTATTTTTACAGTACTATTTGTAAGTCTTTACAAATCACGGGACCACAGGGTCCGGTCATTTGGGAAGCGTATAAGGGGTCGGAGCCAACTACGCAGAGGCACTCTTTAGACAACTTTAATCTAAATGAAATGTTTTATTATTATTATTATCATTTTTTTAATATGTTAACAAGTTTGCTCACCGCCAGAGGGGTTGTTGTTGTTGTTGACAAAGTGCACTAAAAATAATAATGAGAAAAATTAAAAACGTATTCGTGAAAAGAAAAGATATTTTTTTAAATATTTAACTAAAAAAGCTCACCGCCGCTTGGGTTATTCGGGTCGTTGTTGACAAAGTTCACTAGAAATAATAATAAAAAAATTGAAAACTTATTCTTGAAAAAAAACTAAATGTGTTGTTTTTTATATTTAACTAAAAAATATCTCACCGCCGCTTGGATTATTCGGGTCGTTGTTGACAAAGTTCACTAGAAATAATAATGAAAAAAGTTAAAAACGTATTCTTGGAAAAAAAACTAAATACCTGTTGTTTTTTTTAATATTTAACTAAAAAATATCTCATCGCCGCTTGGGTTATTCGGGTCGTTGTTGACAAAGTGCACTAGAAATAATAATACAGACTATTATGAGTAAAAATCAAAAACAAGTTTGTTATTCATTTACGTTAAAGCTATTAGCTCACCACCTGAGGGGTTATTGGGGTTGTTGTTGACAAAGTTAACTAGAAATAATAATAGAGACTACTATGAGCAAAAAATGTAAAGTAATTTTGATTGAGCCATTATAAATTTAATATATTCATTTATATTTTAATTATTTGCTCACCGCCCGAGGGGTCATTGGCGTTATTGTTGACAAAGTTCACTAGAAATAATAATAGAGACTATTATGAGCACAGAAATCAATTTTTTTACTATAAATAATATAATTATTTAAGATGAACAATTTGCTCACCGGATGTTTGATCGTTGGGGTTGTTTACAGAGTCGACTAAAAATATGAAGAGTAAAGAAATAAAGAATATTAGTTAGCTGAAGAAATGTTAATAATTTTATTAGTGTTTTTACGGTATTGTACCCAACGAAGGTTTGTAGGAAAGTAATTTTCTAAAAGACTCATTGGCATAGTATTAGAAATACACACGTTAAAATACTTTGTAATAATAACCATGATAAATAAAATAATCATGTCATGCTCACCTTGACCCGGGTTGTTGTCATATGGATTGTTGACAAAGTTCACTAAAAATAATATGACCCAAATGAGAGAGGCATGATTCCCGGACAGACGTAACAAATAAAAATTTATGTAAGATATATCACCGAAAGATAACAAAAACCCTCTTTGTGTATTAAATACAATTACTGAACAGGAATATTGAATATAGTAGATTAAAATAATTCAATAAAAATTATACTAAATATATGTACAATAATAATAGTGGCATGCTCACCTTGACCCGGGTTGTTGTCGTATGGGTTGTTGACAAAGTTCACTAAAAATAATATGACCCAAATGAGTAAAGCTTGTTGTGATACCCGGATAGACAAATATATTTACATATAAGGTCCTATTTACTTAGTTAAACATGGGTTATTGAGGGTAAAAACGTTTTATTATTTCCATAAAAAATACAATTTAGTAGAATACCTACATTGGTAAATGGACTAAAGTTGAAGACAGGTTTTTTGACAATTTTGTGAATTACTAAAACAAGATGGTTTTTTAGATCTAGCAAAATATTATTAGTTTTGTGATTTTAGAAATTCTCAGTCTGTTTGATAAGTATTATCATTGAGGAATATGTGTCATGTATAAATACAAAATCAATTTTAGATAGGAATCAAATAAACTTAGATATCTTAGAAGTCATTTGTTTTCTCGGAGAAAGGCCAAGTCAGAGCAAAATTTTCTTTTTGACTTACTTTTAATAAGACTTTAAAAAAATGTTAATCAACAGACTAAAATAAATAGGACCTTATATTAAATGCTTAATGACGTGCTCACCACCGCTCGGGTTGTTGTTGTCCACAAATTGCACTGCAAATAACAATTATGACCAATATAAGCAAAGCGCGACCAAGCATTCTGAAGCGAGCATTAAGAGAACTTTAACTCGAGCAATAATGCTTTTTAATGAGCGCAACTTTGAATTATCATTTTGTGATTATTGCGTTACTGGTATTTTTAAATTAGCTTTTATCTTTTGAAAAACCCAGTGTAGACTTACTGTCGATTTTATCGCACATTATAAATGGATTGATTGAATTGGCAATTCCCAAGGTTCATGAAAAACAATAAGCTACGTCTATTCTGTACATTTGAGACATCCATACATATGTATGTAATGTTGGACGGTTTTTTACGAATTAATTACTTTTTCATATTGCAAATGAAGAACAGACATCAGCACATCAAACTACACCAAACTGACCGATATCTTCAAACGATTTTAAACTTTAAAAATGGTTTGACAAAGTTAATAATTGCATAACTGATAAATAAGTGAATGAACGTGCTCACCCGGTGTTGGTCTGTTACTACCCCAAAACCTGCCTGTAAAATAATATGACCAATTTAAGCGAGCTCATATGGAGTGCAAGTTCGTGCAAGAAATGAATTTCGTCTGTATTTCAAATGTATAAAGTTGAAATTGTATTGGTTTTTTATGTCGATGTCTAGTCTGTGTATATTTCTAGAAGTAAGTGTAGTGTGCAAAATAACGCAATTGTATTTGTGTGCATACGTGCATTTGTGGCATGCAGTTTATTGTTAATACCCACCACGTTAAAAACATGCATGGTTATTTATTGTTAGTTAAAATTGTGACATCACCAGCCTTAGCTAAGTTGACTTTATAAATCGATAATGTAATTAGCACCACCTTTAAAGGAAGAGTAGCCAGGAGATCCAAAATGCGTAATCCATTATTGTTGCGGTAGGTTATGTATACATCACCTATCAGATTCTATTTCTAAATCACATGAATTTGCCGCTACGTTAACACTGGGAAATAATACCCGAGTGCAACTGAGGTGTTTCTTTTTTTGAGGGGAAAATCATCGAATGTCGTCTCCACCCAGGGTGAAGCGAGAGAAAGTGAGAGAGAGTGAGAGGATCTGAAGTTCATGGTTCATTTTCTATATTATTATCGATTTATAAATAGTTTACTTGGCTAAAACTGTTGTTAGTAATTTTATTGACATCAGCTTACCTTGACCAGGGTTTGCATTGTCCACGAAGTGAACTGTAAGTAACGGAATAAGCTACTATAAACGACTAAAAATAATAGTCGATCTTTATCCAAAATCAGATCGAGTCGGATCCTAAAACGGATTTTAGATTTAAGGCAGAAAATCTTTCAAGTCTATATAGAACTTATGTCAAAAATCGGATCATAATCTCATTATTTTTGGTTAAGCTGCACGCGGGTGCAGTGCCGTTACTAAATTTAACCACTATTTAATAGGTGCTATATATATAAATTATAAACCTTCCTTTCTATTAAAAAAGCCGCAACAAAATCCGTTGCGTAGCTTTGAAGGTTTAAGCATACATAGGGATATAGGGACTAGAAAAACGAGTTTGCTTTAGACTTTGTAGTGATTGAGATTTTGCTCTTTATTCATTCAGCATTTAAGTGTTTTCTTTTCTGCTTGGAACTTATGAGATATTTATTAAGTATAATTACTTTTTGACCAAAAAATATAGGTACGGCGTTATAATATACCTTAAAAAAATTTTAAATGTTCATAGAAAACGGTTTTTGGATTGACATACCGATACTTTAGAAAGTACATAGTTATTTCTAGGTAATTAATCTGTTTAACAGCATTAAGGCTGATTTTTCAATGGTAAGATAAAAGTTATATGGGGAATAATAATGATGCTGTCGAGTCAGAATGTTCGTATAAGACAGTGACAGCAACAATTTTTTTCCTCAGATAACATTTATCTGACTATTGAAAAATCAACCCTAAAAGGGGTTAGCACAACATATTAGTAAAAAACTTACCTTGCTCGGGGTTGTTGCCTTTGCCTGAAAATAAATAAAAAGCACACATAAAGCATTTTTCATCTTTATGATGAAACAAATATTGTGTTAATCACAAATCAATAAAACATAGAAATTATTATAAAAACAATAAATTAGTTATATTTTTTCTCTTGTTATTTACGTTTCTACATATAGTTTTAAAAAAGATTATTCACAAAACTAAATATGTAACACAAACATTCGTCCTTTTTAGTGTTTCACTACCTGTGTGTGTGTCGCGCCATGTAGATAACATTATGTATGTATCTGGCTTTCTATGTCATTGTTTTTGAATTTGTGTCACTTGATATGAAAATATGAAGAATATTGTAATGTTTTGAATCTTTATTCTAACAGAAATGTCGGTTGCGTGTGTTCAGTAGAAACAGTATTTATAATACTTGACATTATTATACCAAGGGCTTATTTCTTAATGTCTAATTAGCTTCCTGTTAATGTCATTGACAGATAAATCATTTTTATACAAGGCATCTTACTGACACTTCAGAGATATTAAATGAATACTTACCCCATTGCTTAGTTCCAAATGTGGTATGTATGTGAAATAAGCCCTTAATAAATAATTCTTTGATCTTAAGGACTTGAGTACTTCGTTAATTATTAACGAAGTACTCAAGTCCTTAAAATGGCCGAGTAATGTGAAGAAGTAAAAATAGAAGTTTCTGTTTCCAAGTCTCCAGAAAAGCCAACAAACACTTAATAACAACAATAATGTATTCTAATATGTTACTTAAGGCCAGACCTGTCACTGAGAGGTATCCTCTTGAATAAAACTAAAGATCGAAAAAATTTGATTCTAACGTAGTTAACCAAAAGAGCACTAAGGAGAAGAATTTATGCTCATTCCGCAGTTGAATTTGGAACGAGCATTATTACTCATTTTAGCAGAAAATAATATCAGAAACTTCTTATTTTTATTAACTCTAAAAAATGTTTATTATAGAAATAATGTGTATAATGATAATTTTATATTAAGATACGTACCTCTCTGAGCCGAAGCCATGGCGAAGAGCGCCAAAACGAAGAAAAGCTGAAACACGTAAAATACCTTCATTGTAAACACTGATTTACTTGAAAGCCAATTCAAGACTGACTCAGTACACAAAAAATATGTCCGAATATTGACACATTACAACGCATTGATAGCCTATCTGTCAGATAAGATAACCACATACACATTGAAGTAATTTTTCTAGTCCTTTCAGAATGTTTCTTGTATGTAGGTAATTAATAAAGTATTAATTGCAACGTTTAAAGTAAATATTAATTGCAACTGAATATGTTTAAATGTCGTCATGACAGGATTTTATGATTAACGAGAGATTAGAAATAAAAAAAAATACGTGTCTTGTTTCTGTGAATTTGATAATCTTTTGGTTTTTTACGAATTACCGGTAGATAATTAATTTTTAAATCTAACGCAATACATAAGTATTTGTACGTACAGAGGTTTGATTTGTTTTTTTATGGTGTGGGAAGACGCATCACTATATATGTATTAAGTAATCGGCGCCCCCAACACTAAAGAAATGAAAGGAGTGTGTGTAAAAAGTGTCCTACTGGCCTTTCGTGGATTGTCAGAGATTTAAAGAAAGGGATTGAGCCTTTGGTGGAAGGAGAAGGATTGAGCCTTCGGTGTTTACAATATGGTAGTTTCCAACTTGTCAAATTCAATGACGATATTCGTCGATAACGCATAACGATACAATTCTATGAAATTTGTATTAAACTCAAAATTGAGACGTCAAATAGCTTACTTATTTCTTAAAATATAGCTAACTAAAAATATCGTAAATTTAGTGTATCGAGAGATTGGCGAATAAAAGTAGGTTTAGTTATTTTTCAATATTTTATTGTAATTTACTAATTGTATTTTCTTTTGTTTTCGTTTCGTCCATAGCAAATGATGTCAATATTCCAATAATAAATTATTTATCTTTAATTACCAATCTTCATTACTTTTCAATATGCCTCTTAAATAACTCTTTTCTATATTGATAATAATGAATATCTTTTTTTCTATTCAATAATTTAAGGCCGATACTTTCCGATTTACTTCACAAAATCAAGTTTTAACTAGCGATTAGTATAGGTAAAATCAAATCACGTTTTTAACACAAATTACCGAACGAATAATATCACGTGCTTGGCGTAAAGAGCATAAATATAATTTTATGTGTGTACACATTAATATTTTAGTTCTTAGACATACAAAATCATGATTGTTAGACGAATATAATAAAAAACACGATGTCAAGGACTTTTACGAAAAATATATTAAGACCTGTTTCTAATATTTATTATTACTAGCTTTTGCTCACGACTTGGTTCGCGTGGAGTAGTGACTTCCTGCAGGTTTTTGTTAAAAAAACTATCCTTTGTTCCAAACTATGTCTGTGCAAAATTTTACACAAATAGGTTCAGTGGTTTAGGCGTGAAGAAAAGACAGATAGACAGACAGACTGAGTTACTTTCGCATTTATAATATTAGTTTGGAAAGTTTTGATTTGATTAAGTAATTATACTATCGTTGGTATACAGTTCTCCTGTCTGCCGGTGGCCTGTTTTGATCCATGCTAATCGTAGTGCCAGTAAATAACGATGTCTCAAATTTTTATTCCCGGGTCAAGCGAAGTTTATTTGAGATTTCCGAAACCTGAAATCGTCAGTAACACGGTGTTTAGAAATGAGAAATTTTTCTTTGTTCAATACTTTTGTTGTGCAACATCAAATTAAAGCTACATTTTTCTATAAATGTAATATATACTTCGATACTATACTAATATTATAAATGTGAAAGTAACTCCATCAGTTTAACTGTCTGTCTGTCTTTTTTCACGCCAAAATTACTGAACCGATTTCCGCGAAATTCGGTACAGACATACATAGTTTGGAACTCGAGAAAGGAAATAGGATAGTTTTTATGCCAAAAATCTGCAGGAGGTCATTACTCCATCCAAACGGAGTCGCGGGCAAAAGCTGGTGTTTGTATAAAATCTCAACATAATATGATGACAATGTGTTTTTACGACTTATGTATAGCATACTTATTTCTGACATACCTAACTGGTGGAAAATCCTAAAATTAAGTTTATTGAAAGAAAGTCTAGCAATGCTCTGGCTTACAAGGACCCCCCTCTCCACCTTCCAAAATAGGATATAGGTACTAACTACAAGACCTCGGTCATTCTGAGAATAAAAAGTATGATGTTATTGTATGTAAACAAACATATAAGTATGTATACTTAAACATAGCCTTCGCATAGTCTGTATGTCTGTTTGTTTAGTTACGTAATAATTTGATTTGTCATTCTTCCATTGTTTGACTACAATAGACTTGATTTAGATTCGGTTCGGTGTTCTTTGAACTACGTTTGTGATATGTGTTTGCTGTGTAAACAGTATGAAGATTTTTTTTTATAAAATAGTTCGGCAAACTAACAGACTGATTAGTTGAAGGCTCGCAATCAGCGCTGACCATGGACACAGCAACACCAAAGGAGTGCGTTGCCGGCCATTTAGGGATTATGGTTTAGGATAAGGAGGAATGGAGTGAGCCTCCGGTAACCTCACTCACACAGCGAAGCCGGAGTTGCGGGGTAAGCGCAATGAGGCACCGCGACCTCGGCCCAGAGCAGGAGACGGAAAAGGGGGGTTTTGAGTCAGTAAGAGTCTGACACTCTCTCTCGCTTTACCCTGGGCGGGAGAAGTCATTTGATGAATTTCCCCTCACAAAAAAAAACTCACACTGCGAAACACAACGCTGATAGTTTCTAGCCGGTTTTCTGTAAGGCCGTGATAATATTTGTTTGATTATTTATTTATATTTTGGTACTTATTTATTGATCATTTTTAGCTTCCTTAGTCTGGTTGCGCTCAAGTTAAGAATAAAAGAACTCTCATTAGTGGTTCTCAAGTATAGACTGTCTATCATCCCTCCATTTAATCCGAAAGGGGTAGGCAGAGTTCGCACCTATAAAAACAATGTAGGTATAACTAACTTTTTACAAGTTTGAGCCGAGTTCCATTCCATGACTGAGTTTCATGTGACAATGCTGACACTGTTGCCATGCAACGGCTTTCACTTAGAAAACCCAAATAACTTTACTCGCAGTTGAAATCGAAATCGAGAATTTTGCGTGGCACTTTTTCACACACAAATATACCTATTAAAACAATATAAATGAGGACTAGCCAAGGTTGTGGATGCAAGCGCAATATTGAACCACGACCCTGGCTGGAAGCAGGAGATGGAAAGGGGGGGGTTTTTAGTCAGTAAGAGTCTGACACTCATATCGCCTCACCCAGGGCGGGAGTCATCAAAATTTTTTTTTCAAAGAAATATGAAGCTTGTAACAATCTAATGTTTAACAAAAAATAAAGTTAGTAATGCTATTTACCTTTTTTTCTAACTTATTAGATGGAATTCCTGTCTAGGTGCAGATAATTAATCACAGACCGACTCTTAATGTAATTAATGTAGGTACTATTTACACAAGTTAAACAAACAATGCCGTGTCACTGAATGATTACTGCGTACAATCTCAATTATAAAATACTCATTATTATCATATCCGTTATCTTCGTTTTATAATATCCAATACCTAATTCGTGTCGTCTTTTATGCCATTAGCTACTTGATGGATGGATAAGGAAAGAAAAAGAAAAATTCCTTAAAAATGCAATTAATATTCGACCTTAAAAGCTTTAAGATAAGAATGAAAGATTATCAACAGCCACATCACGTGACAATCCTTCTTTTTTGAGTGTGGAACATAAGTATGTTCTTTAGCCCTGGATGGAGCAAGATGGAGTGTTAGGCTGTTACTAACAAAATACCACCTCGTTGTTACCTACTTCTGCTCTAGGCCGAGGCCGCGGTACTTTAATGTGTGGAGCTATTTGCTCGTCCCAAAGTGTAGATTCCTAGAGAAGAACGAGCAAGAAACTCCATGGTTAGGTACTCTTTTTCAATCAGTTTCACTATTCATTTTATTCATGACATTTTAGCTGCTTCTATTAGGTATGTCAGAACAGTGTAACACAAATGTTTTTGGCCAAAGAATCCGAAAAAGAAATTCTGCCACAAAAATAGGTTCGTAGTTTGTGATTATCGGTGCTACAATATTAAGTGCTCCTCTGAGTACTAATTCATGAAATGAAACATAAGGCGATTTTTTAGCGGAATCTTAAGTACCTACTTATATCTATCTGTTTTTTTTTAATACTCAATTAAGGTTATCGTGTTCGTGTATTTCTAATTATAAATGTTTCTTTATCAATATATAGGCAGTTTTATTTATATTTTGTTATCTTCAAGTTTTGTTTGTAAATTGCGTAATTGATGGTCATACTTATCTTAAAATTTTCTATTGACATTTTACAAACATTAATAATTAGAACTTATACTTACCTAACAGAGAAAATATTACCGTCACGTAACAATTAAGGTTCTTATATTAAACAGTATTTACTCAATCCTATCGGTTAAAAAAGGAAAGGAAGGATGAAATTCTTGCTTAAGTTTTAAGCTTTTTAAGTACCTAAATACCTACGTTAATTTCAAGTTATACAATGGCCGAAAAACATTTATAGTTCATTTTTACAAACCAATAAGTACCTACTTACTCCTTTCTGAACTAAGCCTTTTTTAATGGAAGAAAGGTCATACAATCACTTCTCAAAGTAGGAGAGTGAGAGCGTTAGGCTCTTACTGGATTAAAACCACCCTCTTCCTTTCTCTACTCCAGGCCGCTATGACAAAAAGGCGCAGGTGTTCTAACCAGATAAACTACCATATCTAAGGGTGTACTTTAATTCCATAACCTTGAGTGATGTGTACCTATTTATGAGATAATCACCGTTAAATTTAGAGGTCATGGGAACATTGGTGGTAATTCCATTTTGTTTACTTCCGACTTAACACATTGTTTACAATTAAATAAGTAGATAAGTAAGTACCTAAATATTATATTAATTTAAAATAGGTAAGTATCTATCTTTACAGACTATAAATAAAAATAGCCAAGGTCACGCGTCACGGAGCAGGAGAAGGAACGGGGTGTTTGGTGTCGGAAAGAGTTTACACTCTCTCACATCATACCCTGGGTGGGAAAAGTCATTTGACGATTTTACATCCTCAAAAAAGAAATAAGTAATTCGTATATCATCAAGTCGTCTCTCTGAAGGAATTTAACATAAATGGGCACTTCCTATTAATTTCATAAATACGAAACATTATGAAGATGTCAGGATGTTTTTGATTAAATTAGATACCTACTGGACGGATATGAACGGAACTGAGATAGAAATAGAATATAGTCTGGAATAACACATGGGCTTATTATTCCTATCCCAGCGAGCGAAAAAACTAATATCTAAAATTTGTAAAAGGACTCACAAAAAAGTTGTCATATAGGTTCATCAAAATGTATATGCGCATTATATCTAAGTATTTATAATATTAAGTAGTTTTGAAATAAAAAATATTTTCATTTTCATGTTTTGATAAAAATTGACATGATTTTATCAAAATCATTGGGATTTTATCTCGTTTGTAGTTTGATCATAACATCACTTTTTTTGTCTGATAAACAAGACATTGTTCACGCATTACTCATGTGGTTATCCTTAGTAAATACTTAATGTTAATATCAAAAAATATTCAAAAAAATATCCACTATAGAAATACCAATGCGTTGCACACAAAAAGTTTTGTTGAACCACTACGAAACTCTTTGCAAATCAAACTTTTTCGTTTTTACGGACACAAAATTATCAAGGAAATAAAATAGAAAAATAACTAAGGTATAACACTAAACGTTAATTGTTTACACATAAGTATTTTGAATTTATAGTTTTGTAAATAAATAAAAAATCACTCACCAAAAACGCTCTCATATTGTTGTTTTAATAGAAATAGATATCACAGATGAAGAGAGACGCGTATATCGAGACGAGTTTATGCCGAATTTTTTTCAGAGTACAGACTTATATAGCGAATGGACGATAACCTGCTCGACCCAGAGCGAATTTGTACAAATACAGCGAACTAGCCAAATATTTGATCCGTTACCATTGCGCTGTGTTCCTGTACAAGCAATTCCAATAATTCCGTATCATCGTTCATCTGTTCAAATGTCAGGGGCCGCTCTTTTATGTAATGTTTTGAAAATAATTTCTTTGAATTAATTTATTATGTTTGAGTGAACGTCATTTGTTTACGATAGCGCACGGTCTTGTTTTGAGTTGAAGTAAAATTGAGATTTTTGGATTATTGTCGAATTTAATACAAAAAAGTTACAGTCAGAAAGTTAAAGTTTAGACTATTTGATAATTTCTAAACTATTTCTAAACTTTTAACACCATACTTATTGCTTTCAAAGATTGTAGAATACGATTAAATTTAGTCATTGTTTTTTTTTCTCTCATGTAAATATATTAAGTACCTACCTACCTAGTTAAACGTATCTAATAAATAATTGACATGTGTGTAGGTATGACATTAGTTTACAAGTTTCCTTTCTTCTTTCATTCTTGTTTTCTTGTGCAATTGATTTATTTATAGCCCTCCTAGATAGGTACCTAAACAATATTATCGAACAGGAAAAGAAATGTTCAATTCAAACCAGTAATTAAAGATTATTGGTTCATTTAAACAATCAACAAAAAACTTACTCTCCGGCTTAACCTAAGTACCTATATGTTAGAAACTAGACCTCAAAGAGCCATTAGACCACCGCAGATCCTTCTGTGCTGGTTTTCAACATTCTGGGTGGCCCAATAGGACCGATATTTAACCGCGGTTGAGGGTGCAAACACCATAATGTCCTACCGTGATTTTTATTTAGTCAGAGTCCGACACTCCCTGTCCAAGGAGGCTGAAAAAATTGAGGATAGCTTGATTGATCCTACTACTTACATTACAATAATTTTAATTTAGATATTTTTATCCAGTGTTTTACAGCCTGTATAAAATAAACACAGAAATAATCTATAAACAAAAAATACAATTACAATATTAGGTAGGTATGCAAACATAGTTCAAGATTCCAATATATAAGTAAATTATCGAGTTTAAAATAATGGTATCCGAACCCAAGGTAAAATGTTCAAGTCGTTAGCTATAGCTGTTTGGTTCCTAGTTGCATAATATGTTAATAAAATAAACAAGAAGGTAGGTAGGTAGCCTAATCAAACATGTAAATGCAACATTTGCATGCACACACATGCACAAAATTTCTGTCAGTGGAATAATGGAATATCATCAAATGACTTCTCCCGCCCAGGGTAAAGAGAGAGAGAGTGTCAGACTCTTACTGACTAGAAACCCCTCCGTTCCTTCTCCTGCTCTGGGCCGAGGCCGCTGTGACTCATTGCGTTTACCCCGCAACCCCGGCTGAACATCAGCCCCGTCTGTGGTGGTTTATTGGCTCTTTGAGGCGCGCGCGGAACGCTACGCGCCGTACGCTCGAACCAGATGCACCTGAGACGACAAACGCACGAGAGTTGCAAGGACGCAGCCTAGATAAAAAAGACTTACTGCACAACCCACAAAACTATTATTACGATATAAGTTCAAATAGAGAATATTTTTTATAAAATAATTATACAGGTTGATAATTATAATAACAATGTAGGTACAATTTAACGTTTTAGAGGCGGCGACAGCGGCGTTGATAAAATATCTGCCTAATTATGTTTCTTATTCAAAATTTCCTACATTCTATCTCTGTCTAGCACTACATTCATGTTTGTCTTCCGAAAATGTCAGCAGCACGGAATAGAAAATACTTAGGTAACTTTCTGTTCTGTGGTCAGCAATATATTAGGTAGCTATTCTTTCAATTCGAAAATGGAACTTGAAACATTCTGATCAATTTATATATTTGTTTCTATGAATAAGAACATTTTACGGGTCTACCTACACATAGGTGACCCAATATCAGTTTCATTTTTATCATTTATTAAGTATAGAATGTTTGCAGTCTACAAGTGCGCCCTTTATCGCGGGACATTCTGCCTTGCAAAACTTTGGAATGAACTGTCTGTCACCTTCAATATTTCTGAGCCGTTAGGACGTTTAAACCTTCAAGGAAAGAGCGTAGGCACCTACGCAATAAGGCAATTGTAACATATCTTGCAGGTGTCTATTTAGAGCGCAATGGATAACAATTTATCCATAATCCTGATGGCTTATTAGAGAAATTAAGTGCTGTTTTCTGCACGTTTTTCCTTCATCATTAACTAGTGATGTATCTACATAAAACAGTCTCTAAAAGATGGAAATCTTGGAAAGTCGAATTGGTTGCCAACCTTACTTTTTTGTGTAAGGCCAAATGAGCACGCGGGTTACCTAATGGTAAGCAATCAGTGCTGTCCATGGACACTCTCAGTAACGGTGGAGTTACAAATGATTTGCCGACCTTCTGGGGATAAGGATTTGGGAGATTTAACGAGGCGGTGGCACCATTTCGGTCGAGCCGAATACCCATCTATGCCAAAGCAGGGCTCTTCCACACCATCCCACACTAAACTTGAAACCACTACAACAACACATAAGTATTAAGTCTTATTATATAGGTAGCTACAGTTATAAGATTGTTTTTACAATGTCATTAAAGTGACGTGCGTTGAACTATTCCTAACATCCTAGTTGTTCAAACAAAGTGTTATTTTTCCTCGAATAGGTAGGTAGGTGACACGTGATGAGGATTTTGTCGTCTTCCATTTAATTAGCGCGTCTATTGTTTATTCACAATACGATAATAATTACATCAGAATCAATTAGAGACAAGTATTAAAACAGTTTATGTCGTCGATTTTTTTTTTATTTTCTACCTTAAAATATTTTTCACTGACATATGAATTTACATGCACTAAGGTCCGAAAGTCTCAGATTCGTACTGATTAAAAACCATCCCGTTTCTTCTGTTGCCAAGCCAAGGTACCTACCTACATTATTGAGCTTCACGTGCATCTCCGGCTGAAGAACTGAGTCCCGGAAGCAATTTTTGGGCCACACAAAAACCGGTGACATGATGCGTTACATCCCTATTTTCATTAGGTAGCTGTAGATTTTCAATTTTTTTTTTTTTTTTTGTATAGTGCTGGTTACTATGCAGATTTTATTGCTAATTTAGCAGACGGTTTCGGATTACGTAATATTTGTATAGTAATAGGTAGGTACAGTACATAAATCTTCTGCTACTTACGAGCTTACCTACATGGCAAACTTGTTTTCACATAATTATAGACATAAATTATCACCTTCTATCGCTAGCTTCGCTATCAAAACATTAGACAGCTTTATTATTATTCGTAGATTCATATTTTTAAAAGAACCATTCGAGTTTGGTACTTTAATTATGTACCTATGCTAAGCCTCAATCACAGATTTTTTACTGAGATTTCTTTACAGCTGTACTTATATACGTAACAAAAGACATAAGTACTTTGACTAATCAAAACTAAACTTTCCATCGCATGCGATTAGCTGACTGACGACTGAGGTCAATCCTATATTATAGTCTACTAGCTGACCCGGCAAACGTTGTTTTGCCATATAAATTTAAAAAAATTGTGAAAAAAATATAAACAAAAATTTGGGGTTGGACTACTCCTAACATTTAGTGGGATGAAAAATAGATGTTGCGATTCTCATAGATACCGGATAAGCACAAAAAAATTCATCAAAATCGGTCAAGCCGTTTCGGAGGATTAACTCCTCCGAAACAAGCCTCCAGAGGCAACGAAAACTGTGACACGAGAATTTTAAGTCTATTGAGTAACTATATCGATGTCAAGCCAGATTCTCATTGAAATTGTTTTTGTTACAGGAATCTGCTTCGAAGTTCTTAACAGCCAACATTAACTTCTGTTCCGTTCAGTGATTACTGTCTCGGTGAAATAAAAAAATGTTTTGTAGCTTAAAATAACAAGTGTAGCAACACTGTAGCCAAAATGTCAGGTTTGTTGACAAACGTCCACGAAACAGCTGGGATTTCGAAAGATTCTGGGAAAACATATCTAGTTTCAGGAAATTATAAATACTATCATTACCTTTGTGATGGGTTCGACGATAGAGTAAGATATCTTTTTGGCTACTATAATTTGGTTTTAGTGCTGATACAAATGTATGCTTTGAGGTTATGTTTTTGTTAATGTTAGTTTATAATTAAATTATATTTTTTTAGGGTTGGGGTTGTGGTTATAGGACCCTACAAACAATATGTTCCTGGATGACGGAAAATATTAATAGTGAAGTCAAAGTTCCGTCAATACGAGACATACAAGATATTTTGGTGCAACTCGAAGACAAACCACGAAGTTTTTTGGGCTCAAGACAATGGATTGGTAGTTTTGAGGTGACGAATTTTAATCAAAATAAATACTCAATTAGAATTACGTGCCGAACCATGGCTCTCCCACACTTAAATTAAGTCAAACAATACATTACCGATATTACACTTAGGGTTGATTTATCAATAGTCAGATAAATGTTATCTGAGGAATAAAATTGTTGCTGTCACTGTCTTATACAAACACATTCTGACGCGACAGCATCATAATTATTCCCCGATAACTTTTATCCTAACCATTGTAAAATCAGCCCTTAGATAAACATAATATTCTATATTTCAGGTATGCCTAGTGATAGACAAATTGTATGACATTCCAAGCAAGATAGTGCATGTCAATCATGGAGATGAATTAAAGACTATAGTGGACACACTGGTGTCTCATTTTGACAAGTTTGGTAGTCCAGTGATGATGGGTGGAGATGTGGATGCATCCTCCAAGGGAATCCTAGGCATTCATATTGGACAGCGGGATGCTAGTTTGTTGGTAGTTGTAAGTTTTTTTCATTATACTTTTATATTAATTCATCAAACACCAAGCAAACATCAGCTTCAGCACACCTACTGTTATTTTTTTTGTAAGGGGAAAATCATCAAATGCCTTCTCTCGCCTAGGGAGGGACGGGAGGTAGTGACTCTTACTGTCAAAAATCACTTCTGTTCCTTCTTCTGCTGTAAGAAGAGGCATCAGTGACTTATTGCGCTTGCTCTTCAACCCGCACCTATTGTTCTTATGTCAAAAATTATTATGACCGAAAGGTTAAAAATATTGTATTGGTCATGACTGTAATTCAGGATACTTGCCTGTGGGCTGATGATAATTTTATTGCAACATTTATTCAAGCTGTTGTTTGCTAGTTGCAAGTGTTGTTTTAACAACAGACTTCTTAGTGATTTTATGAAGTACAACTATGTGACAAGAATTTTACCTGTTTTGCCACTCTATTTGAAATAAAATATTCACTCTACTAACTGACCTTGAATTTTTACATGATGTCAACATCACTATCACCATCATCATCTGTATCCCCAGAATCACAATTTGGGGATCACACAAACAGTTGGTCTGTGAGAGAATCCAATCCGCGACATGTTGCACGACAGCCAGTTGCCCAGCTACTAACTGTGCCTTCCTCTACCTTCTTCTTCTTCACATCTTTTGTTACTCATTAGAGCTTAGATTTAACTATGTAAGTATATATTATTTTAAATACTACTACTATAACAAAAACATTACTTCCAGGACCCTCATTATGTCGGCAAGGAGCAAACAAAAGAGTTCCTCTTCCACAAGGGCTGGGTAAAATGGCAAAGACTAACAGATTTTATAGATACCTCATTTTATAATCTGTGTCTACCACAAGTTAAAGCTAAGTGCAAATAAACTTCGCTTTCAGACTTCAATTCAAATAATGTAATTATTTGCATAAAACTAACAAGAACCATATTATTATATGTTTTTTCTGTGCAAAGATTATAGTGTGTTGACCTCACCGGTATGTAGGTAATTGGTGAAGGCCACATGTTCTATTGGTTAGACAACCTTGATCGAAAGGTTACGTCTTCCATAGATATGTTCAACATAAATTGTTAATTATATTAAATATTTTATAATAATTACAATAAAAATCGTTTGTATACTAATCAGTCTTTATTTAAAAATTAACATCTAATTAAAAACCTTATAATGACAACATAATTCTAAAAAACAGGCTTTCCTGACTAGATTCTTGTAGTGTTTTAATAGTCAAATTACGTCGCAAAAGATAATCCACAGACTATTTATTATGTCGGAATTTTTCAATATTCTCACTCCTCAAGTCCTCAATGACAGTATCTTAGCAGTTGTTTGAGGCAATAAGTGTCAAAAAAGAAAAATCTTATTTATATAAAACTGACAAAAACATAACATAGCTCCTAACAGACAGAAGTCTATAACAAATGTACTATATTAAGTTATTCGTCTAAAGCTTTATGAACCATTTTCAACACTAGCGCCCTCACAACGTAAACTCTCATTTAGTCAGTGTTCATAATAAGACAAACGCCTTGTAAGATCCAATGACTAGGGTGCTCCGCGGTCCAAAGGTCGGAGTTGAAGACCAGACCGACTCCCATTGAGTTGCGGCGTTGCGATGTCGTGTAGACGGGCGTGCGGAGGGTATTCTGTGAACAAAAATGTTGATAGTTCAAAAACATTAGGTCGAAACATAAATTCTGAATATGCATCAAATAACCGACGAGAGTTATGCCCGTTTTCACCAACAGCCCCTAAAATTTAAGTGTCTCTTAAGCCAATATAAGGGGCACTTATCGCGAGTTTTGTTTTCACCAACGTTTAAGTGTCACCTATATCATTAGGGGTTCCTTATAATTTAGGGGATGAATTGACGACCCCGTAATGTTTAAGTGACACATAGTGTTAGGTTTTTTGCGAATCACCAAACAGTATTTTATCCTACTGAATAAGATAAAAAATAATAAAAATGGATAATAACCACTATTTATTTGAAGATTTTAAGCAATTGAAGATTGTTAAGTAACCGACATTTGTATAGACGACCTCGTATTTATCGTGAAAGATCGAAAGATTTTGAAAAATATGATGAAAAAGACTTTTTCATAAGATACAGGTTCCCTGCTCAACCTTACTTGTATTTAAAGAAATAAATCTGTGGCACCGATTAACCAATTACTGTGTGCCCTTAGATTTTATGCAACAGGCAATCAATTATTATCTGTAGCAGATCTCAATCCCATCAGTGTATCTACTTGCAGTAGAATTATAAAAAGAGTGTCTGACGCTATCGTGGTTCGTGGCAAAGCGAATTCATACAATTTCCAGACACCGAAAAACAACAAATAGTAAAAGAAGAATTTTACAGAATAGCTCGATTTCCAAATGTTTTAGGATGTATAGACTGTACACACATAAAAATTCAATTATAAGGTTGGGCGTTTAGAGAAACACAGGTCCTTACGAGTAACCATTTATTACTGAATCTCCTATGAAATAATACATGATTTAATAAGATGGATAGACACGCACACATACAGATACGGCAGATCTTTGTGTCATATTTATTGAGTCGTTCGCACACCTATCGTCTTTCTATGATGTCTCTAATAATGATATTCAAAAGTCTTTTAATTGTATTAACTAGAAACCTTCTTTACATTTATTCATGTGATAAATTATAGGAGGAGATGATGCCGAACTATTCTGGAATAGAAAAAGCAGTATGTCTATTAATATGCAAACAATAAGTACTGCAAAATTATTAATAACTGATGTGGTGACTCGCTAGCCAGGATAAACAACATTCTTTATCTTCAAGTGAATTTTGACCACGTTTCCTCTTTTCTGCCATTGTAATTAATAAAAATTTGGTATTTTTTGAAAATACACGAAATGATTGAAATGAAACTGTCACTGGATAGTGGCATCAAAATGTCACCGGCACCGCGTCTTTGTAAGCTATGGCATTCAACATACAGCCAAAAAATAAAAACACAACTTTTTGTTACTAATCTAACATTCACCAGTTCAAGACTCTTCTTTTCGAAATAAATTGAAGTTAGAAAAGTTAATTACTTGTTTTAAGGTTGTATATTTACGAAAATAACAATAGAATTGTCTAACCGATTCATTTATCGATAACTGTTTGCATAGTTCCTCAACACTAAACGTCACCTAATTAGGGGGCTCTTAGTTAGGTGACACTTAGGACAGTGAAACAAAATTTAAGTTACGGGATGATTTGAACGGTCCCCTAAGTTAAGTGGCCCTTACTAAGGTGACTGTTTAGGGGCTGTTGGTGAAAACGGGCATTAGTTCTTCTTTTCTTCACCTTTGATATATCGTACGTAGATCATTTATTAAACCTAGTTTGTATGTACCTAATAATAATAATTGCATGATGACCTTGAAGGCATGATCTGTCCAAACTCCAAAGATATTTTATCTTTATGATAATTCAGGAAATCTCAAATCTGCGTACGCTAGATACTTGAGTTTGACATATGAGTCACTTGATAATCATATATTCACAGGAAGTAAATAATACTGCGAATTTATTTATTTACTTTCAAATTATAACTTAGGCGAATTTTAGTCATTGATATCACTTAGTGTGGAAGCGAAGCTTTGGCACCAATGTTCTGTTTCGGCACCAGAAAACCGATTTGAAACAACTACAGCGTCAGGTTTTCTAAAAGAGCCTGTGTAGTTTTTTATGGGATAGGTCGGCCAAACGAGCAAACAGATTACCTGAAGGTAAGAGACAACGAAGGAGGATTTGGAGCTTTTGTGATTATGGGAAGGGAAGGACTAGCCCCCGGTAACCCACTGACATGGCAAAAAAAGAAACGCTGTTTACGCCGGGTTTCTATGCGGCCGTGATATCACTGCAGTTTAGCCGACCCATACGTGCCGAAGCGTCGTTTTCCAACCCATAATAAATACATTAGTAATAAAAATATGTTAGAAACCCAAGTGAAAAAAATTATGGACCCCTATTTCTAACAGCGAATTCATGTTTGTCATCATATCAGAATGCAATAACCCGGGTTATTGCAATACAATTACAAAAATCTATTTATCATTGAATATTTTCGAAAGTAGATCTACTGACAGCACTAGAGATAAAAGAAAGAAATTGCTAGATTGTTTATTATGACGCGAGTACACCTGCTTCCTTATATTTTAGTGACGTTTAAGTAGATAATATTTACACAGACTGACTGTACGAAAACACCTAAATTAAGAGGTAAGACCGAAGGAAATCATACAGCAAACATTTATTTTTCTGCTGCTCTATAATTAAAAGCAAATAAATATGTAAGTAGGTAAACATCACACGTATTTTCCATTTGCAGTAAATTCTATCCGCATTAGGTACCTACTCATACCATGCACTGGTGTTTATTTTTAAATTTCTTCACTGACAGTTAAGCTAGACTTGTAGAACAATATTATCCAATCACACAAAATTATTAAGTACACTATTAGTAATTAATAATTTAAGTACACTAAAGAAGAAAATCTGAAGACTAGATTTCTTTCTATTGTTTGGTAACTAATAAACAATTTGGTTTTTCAAACAAATTCTTAACGATTAGAAGGAATAGTTGATATTTACTACATTCCACAAGTTTTATGCTTATATTTTCTAAGCTTATATTATGAACACTTCTTGGAACTTATAAAAGATAAATTTATCAAGAAATGATGTAAAAAAGAACATTTGTTTGTAGACAAACATTATGCCTACCTAATAAACAAAGGCAGATAAACTATTGGCCTTGAATATGTTGAAAATGTAGGTTATCGCCATCTTTGAGGTCACTGGACAGACGTGGACTAAAGATTCGTATTCACTAGACATAAAAAAAACACTACTCATCTAAGTATATAACTATGTAACCTTGATCATATCGTAATATCCAACAGCTATTTGAGGCGTGCGCGAAACGCTACGTGCCGTACGCTCGGGTAACTTGTTCGCCGTATGCAGACCCTCGCTTACGGTAGCCTGAGATCATCTCTCGATCCCGACCCTCGGAGTGTTGCCTTCTGCGGCTCTGAGGAGATGGATAGCCCCCACACGCGCTCCGCCTCCTTCTTTTACAGCATCATTGCTTTGCAGAAAGAGGAGACGGCTTCCCTGTTTATCTCTCCGCACCATGGCCTTAACTAAAGCCGGACGCGAGAGGTCACCGCCGTCGATCACTTCCCTGAGCACACGGCTGGGCTCAGCTCTAACAGGGTACATGCACGCTACCGTGTCCTCCGGGTGGTCTTCACACAATGCCCGGGCATTTCCTCCCGCTGAATCCGAAACAGTAGGGGCTTACCGAAACTTCCGTGTACGATATCTAAGCAGTAGGCATCAGACGGAAGGTGAGGATACCTTGGCATCTCTCTAGCCACTCCTCAAAGAAGGGTCTTACCGCTGCTATAACAGCAAGCCCGGGCCTCAGTTGCTATAGTTGTTGGACTCCTACCTAGGGACCCTTAGTTTGTTTTTCCGTCCCCGATCCCGTCAGAAATATCTCGTCTATCTTAAAGCCAAAGCTATCTTTCCAAATTAAAAATGAGCTAGTTCTGCTATTTTTAAAAATCTTTAAAAATTTGTTTTGACATATTTTGTTTTCAAATATTTTGTTTTCAAATATTTTTAAAACTTTTAACCTTGTCGACGACCTCGTTAGGCATCACAAAGACCAAACTAAATAAATACTAAAATCTATTAGCACGGTACAACTACTGAAGTTAGGTAAAGCACAGTGAGTATGTTCCTTTATAATCGTTTCAAAAGAGATTTCGATAACTTTTTTGTTATTATAAACATTAACTAAACTGACGTTCTTTACTTTGATTATGACTATGATTTTACTTTAATTAGCGATATATTAGGATTAGTAGGTAGGTTGTTGTGATCGGAACTACTAGAGCTTTTCTAAATTAAAAGAAAGGTTAAAATATAGATAATCCCTACACTGAATAATTAAATTTTGTTGAGGTTGCATAGCACTAGTGAAAAGCTCTTTGGTACATTGCTAGGCAACTAACTGTTAGAAAAAATTTAATGTCACTCGTGAATAAAAAGAAGATCATGTCAAATGTGTGCAATATATAAAACTAAATAAATAAACAAATAATTTAAATATTTTGTAACCAAATAAACCTAAATTATCGCTATAAAGTGTCAGTGTTGTCATACTAGAGAAAACCCCTACTATCTAGCCGAAATCTAAAGTGGGAAATACATCGATCACGATTTGGTCTCCGGAGCTTCCAGATTGGTAAGAAAATAAGTAGACCACTTTTAATAGGTATTGGGACCCACCACCACTGGACGACTGAAAAGTGCCATGGATTTCTCAACGAAATTAGAGATCGGAAAACTAGAGGGCAAAAACAATTGGCAAACATGGAAGTACAAAATTTCAGTCATGCTTGAGGGTACGGAAGGTGCTTTAGAAGCAGTAGAAAATAGACTTCCAATGCCAGTTTTACCACCTGGTGCAGGAGATGCTGCTCAAAGCACTTATAATGCTGCAATGGCTAAATATAAGAGGACTCAAAGCGGTGCACTCCTGATGCTGACAACCAATATGACTGAAGAAACGTTAAAGAAGGTTATGCGTTACAAAACGGCACA